CTGGGAGCTTGCAATATAATGGCGCTCTTAAATGTATTCTTAATGTAATCAGCTTATCCAGATTCCCAACACAGTGGATCTTTAAGACCAGCAGAAACAAACTGACTTCAGTCAGACAGAGAGCAAATAGACCTGGTGCTTCTTGCTGCTGCTTTTTTTCACTGTCCTAAAGGCAAGATTCAGCCAGGCATGTCTTCCTGCACAACAGTGGACTGTTTTCTGTTTGCTTCGCATTTTGTACTGAAGCACTCAAGCAAATGTCCACTTTTATGGCTTCCATCAAGAGGCTGTATTTTACTTTGTGTCTTTGATGTAATTGCACATCAGACAATACAGGTTTATCTTTTTGTAGTTGTATTTTAACCCTTAAATGGATCAAAGCTTTTCAAAACATTTTTAAATATTCAAGTCTTTACCGTCTCTTACTTGGATGTAACATGGACACTATCTCTAATTGATGCAAAAGCATAAAACTTAGTGATATTTTTACGTATAACATACAAAAGGATAAAATACGCTATGTTTGTTATCTTTTGTCTCTTGGAAGGGTTCAGTTCAGGTAGTTTAATTCACTATTATTGTTGAAATGGTGCTCAAATCTCCGGCAGCTAGCTCTATGCAACTCCCACATGATCGCTCACTAAATCTAAGCAGGGCTGCACCTGGTCAGTACCAAGATGGGAGACCACATGGAAAAACTAAGTTGCTGCCGTAAGGGGTGTTAATGAGGCTAGCAAGAAGGGTGCTCAAACTGCGTTCTGTGTGGGTCCTAACACCCCAGTATATTGATAGACTCTATACTGCTCAGTGAGCGCTGTTTTTCGGATGAGACATTAAACTGAGGTCCTGACTCTGTATTAGTTAAAAATCCCAGGATGTCCTTTCGAAAAAGAGTAGGGGATTAACCCGGCATTCTGGCCAAACTTGCTCACTGACCTCTGTTCATCATGGCCTCCTAACCATTCCCATATCATTATTTACTTCACCACTCTGTCTCCTCTCCACCAATCAGCTGATGTGTGGTGTGTAGTCTGGCGCAATATGGCTGCCATCACATCATCCAGGTGGATGCTGCACACCGGTGGTGGATGAGGAGATTACACCCAAAATTGTGTAAAGCACTTTGAGTATTCAGAAAAGTGCTATATAAATGTAAGGAATTATTGTTAAATCTTAAGGGAAATTAGCATCTGGTTCATATTTATGACTTCAACGATATTCTGAAAATAAAGTTAATAAAAAAATGAAAGTACACTTCTATATCATAGATCAGTAATCACCTTTTTACACTTCTTACAAAAAATAATAATAATTTGTGTGTGTGTTTTTAAAAAAATCAGGTGAATGACTGAAAGACATCATAAATGTCAAAAAACCATGGGTTTTAGACTCAAAGTACTTTTGTTGCTTGTTTAAACTACTTACTCAATGAGTTGAAACAACACAATTCTAAAGATTTTTTTGGAACAACTTAATTGTTTTGTTCATTCCACTTTAATTTGTAAAAACAATTAAGTTACCTTAATCGATTTGTGTTGGGACAACATGAAGCAATTATGTGAGACCCAGCATTTTTTTACACCATATAGAAACCTTCCTAAAAGTAAACAAACAGTAGAATATAGTTGACTTGATTTATTTATGATTATGGCTCATATAAGGATTTAAAGTAGTTTAATGAAGCCAATATGTAGTTAAATATGTTTGCTTAGAACTTACCTACAGTTATCCACATTCTCTCATCAAGTTTATTTTTTTATATATATAATTTTGTGGCAATTGGTGTACTTATGTTTCCACCCCCATTTTGTGCATGCACCTTGTTTATAAATGGGATAAAGATTTAAAACGGCAGGTTTTTCATATTTACATTTAACAAGCTGTTTGGATTTAAATTTTTATTTTGAGATTAAAGGTTTAAATGAACTGAAATGTAATTTAATATTAATAATACATGAAAAGCTCACTCTTATTTAAACACATACAGGAATCTTTTTTTGTTTGTTTGTTTTACTAAACTAAGGATAAAAATTTAGATTGTACTGTTATGGTGTGTTCAAACCAGACGCGGATGAAGCGTCAAGCGTAAGTGATTTACATGTCAAGTCACTGCAAAGACGTGAATAAACATGCTGCAGCACTATTTGTGAGAATGAGGCGACTGATAGTTAACGCAGCAAGAATGTCCGCTTAAATTCAGATTTTACAACTTTAAAGAAAAATGATTTATTCATGCGAATCACTCTAGTTGGAAAATCTGAACTTCTGCTGACATTCGTGCTGCGTTAACCAATCAGGAGCTTGATCTTGTAGGACCATGATCATGACGTAGCGCCTATTGCTGGTGTCCTGAGGGGAAATCCTCCTGCTAACACCAGACAACAGCTCATCAAACTGGGCTCCGTCACCCAGGTATAGTTTCTGGAGGAGTTGATGAACTCACAGAGCTGGGTGCACTTCTGAAAGGATCTATCGGTCTCAGACACAGCGCCGAAGGAATCTACGCTGTTTTTCAGCCTTGCTAAATCACATAAAGCACAGCTAATCTCTCGAGAAAATCCATGTTAGCCATTTAGCAACGAAACTAGAGTCGCCGGGCAGACAGAAGCCCTGCCCACGACGTGAATCCGCATCCATTGTGAAGTAAATTTGATGCACAAAGCGGGGAAACTCAAAGTGTTCATGCAGCTAATTGCGTGTGAATATCATGATTTATTTGCACATTCCATGTCTAGTGTGAACACCCCAGTTGTATTTGATGACATCTAATATTAAAGTGTGTTTTTATAATTACGTTAAAAATACAACAACATGAGCCATAGTAGCACGAAAGCTTTATTTTTATTTTTTAGATGCTGCTTGCTTTCACTTGCTTTTAATATTAGACTGGCACAAGAATGACATTCAGCCTGAAAAGATTATATATTTCTTCTAGGGCTGCACTGAGGCCTTTAACGGCTAAGCTTTGGACAGATTAGCATTGAGGGGGAAGTCAGTGCCGTTTTCAGCTCCGCGTCAGCGTTACTGGAGTGACATTTTCCAGGCTGGATATTTTTGTTGCCTGCAAAGCCCCTCTGCTCTTGAGTTTAGGATGTCATTTTAGTTAGCAAGGGTGTCTTGAATGACCACTCCGGCTTGGCACAGCTCTACGGTGTCATCTGTTCAACAAAGAAATGCCATTTATTTTTCAGGATGACCATGATGCTGGCTTTTTAATTTAGTTCATTGTGATCATATTGCTTGTGTGCAGTCTTTGTTCATGCTGAGCAAAGTGGATGTGTGAAGATGAGTGTTGCTGGTTGCAGGTGCTTAGCTTGGTGTCGATGAGTAAACCCAGATTGCTGCCCTCAGCACACATGCTAATTGGATCATACCACTGAGCGAGGCGGTGGAGGTGGAATGGACAAACCTTAATTATGGAGGAGGTTATGAGGGGTGACTTTTTTTCTAGCCCCTCGCTAGGCATATTTTTTCTTTCTCTTTATTATTTCTCTTACTGCTTCAGAGGTTTGAATTCATTTGACCTTTAAGTAGACTTCTCATGATATTCTGCCATGATTCCAGTTAAAAGTAAAAAGTAACATGTGCAAGACGTGACATCTAACTTATCACATGATTATAGTTAAATAACCCTTTACAATAACTCATTACCCTCAAGTTCAGCCAGCCAGCAGGGGTAGAGAGCCGTGAACACTAGTATGAAGGGAACATGTCTATCTCAACCAAATTTGTTCTTGGAGCTCTCGTCTAATGGGCTGGTTATCAAAATCAGCTTTGTTAAACAAAAGAGACATGTAAATGAGCAGTTTGAGATTGAGAACCGTTGGTTGAGGGTGAGAGAAAAAGGGAAATGTTTACCGTAGTAAAGGAGACATTGTTTGGGAGCCTGTTGGTTGGAATATCTTATTCGATTTGTTAAACAAGTGTACCATGGCTCTTCATTTTAGTTTTCTGTCTGAGAAACGTATCTCCTCTTGAGATTTGATTTGGCTTAGATCTTCTGGAAAAATTCATTATGGCTAAAAGAGCTGGGCGATACAGCAAAAAAAAAAAAAAAGTCACAATAAGAGGTTTCATATCATTCAATATCAATAATTATGGATATTTTTTACAGTCCATTTAGGAACTTTTTAAAATTGATTTAACCACTTTATTTTAATTTTCAAACATAGTACACACGAAGGCAAATAGTTTTAATAGTCAAAAACAAAACAAAAAAATTAATGTCTTTAATGTCTCATTATGTCTTATTAATAAAATAAACAAAAATGTTAAAGAGACTTTTAAACTTGATTAATAAAATGTTAAGTGTGTGCAATTTTAAAGTGTAAAGGCTGAAGAATCAAAGCTAACTTTAAGGTAGATCAACATCTGTAAGGTGTAAATAATAATGATACAGTAAACCTCAAAGTCTGTAAACAAAGGAAATTATTATAATCAAATCTGAGCTTTCTAGTAAAAGAACTAACCATCATTATTCGGATACATATTGCAACATTACAAAGTGTGAAGTTGAATGACTACATTACCCCGTATGCTAAAAACTCTTTCAGATGGAGTGCTAGTGGCTGGGATGCGCAAGAAAAGAAACCAAAAAGCCAATCTCCTCATGGCTGCTAGTCACGACAATCTTTTTTGCTTGTTATTTTGACCTGAGGTGGTGATGACGAAACTTAACCGGAATCCGTTCACATGATTCTTCTAAAAGCAGGTGCAAAACACTAGTGCGTGGGTTCCTTCACCATTTTCAATGGGTTTTGAAATGATTACTCTCTTTTGACTTGTATTTTGTTTTTAGCAAACTGTTTGCAGAAGGAAAATATCAGTACAGTAACACTACGGCTGCTGAATAATGGTCAGCTATGTATTGAAAGGATTCACTCATGTATATTAATGCTAGCAGTAAATATGTAATAGTGATTGTAGAGTTGAATGGCAGTTTGCTTCTGGAATGAATATTTGTCCTCACTTCTGTCTATCTGCTCTTCTTTGTGGTCTAGAATGGCGCTGGACATGGCTGACTCACAGTACCTCCTCATCCTGGCACCGACGCTGGTCATCGCTCTCATGTTTCTCTTTTTCTGGCTCTTCATGAAAGAGACTTCTTATGATGAGGTTCTGGCCCGCCAGAAACGAGACATGAAACTGCCTCCTGCCAAGCCTGATGTTCGTAAAAAGAATGAAAAGAAGAAGAACAAGAAGAAGGAGAGCAGCGGAGGTGGCACGGGTGGAGGAGGTGGAGGTGGTGAATCAGAGGAAGACCTGAGGGATTTCGATACATCTGATGCTACTAGCCCCACCTCAAATGATGAGGATTCGGAGGCACTACCCGTGAGTCCACCTGCTGCTCCGGTCCAGGCAGAACCTCCGTCCGGGATAAGAGAGAGAAAAAAGAAAGAAAAGAAGCCTAAATCTTCTCCGACTGCTGCCCCAGCTGTTGTCCCAGTGGTTGTACCTATAACACGTACCACCCCAACTACTACTCCTGCTTTAGAAGAACCAGAAGTTAATGGTTCCAAATCCGCTGTCCGTAAAGAGCAACCCATCCTTCTGACCAAGCAGTCCAGCCCACCGAAACCTAAGGCATCACCCCCTGCCCCCTCTGAGACCACCAGCAAAAAGAAGGCCAAGAAGCAGAAGAGTGAGGCTGGTGAGTAAACCGCATGCGAATATCAACTTGTGTCACATTATCTCTGCTCACATTAGTGGTTAGCCACCAGTTACCCTCTACTGAGGCAGTGCTAGTTCGGAGCCAATGTAGTAGCCAAATAGTTTTTTTGTCTTTCAACATCCGAAGCACTGGCTCTTAAGTATCAACAAACAGTGGCGTAGCGCAAAATGCGGAGGCCCCCCTGCAGGGATCACCGATGGGGCCCCCAGTTTTCAAGGGGTCGGGGGGGTTTGGGGGCGGCAGAGCCAGAGATATACACATATATCTATGATCGGGAGTTTTCCTGGATGTTAGTATTTTTATTTTTATTTCAATTATGAAAATTATAATTTTACATCACTTTTCTACATTGATGGATGGGCATTCCTGACAAAAAGCTTGTGTTTGTGTGTACAGAAATGTACTATCCACCCTCCCTGTTAAATTTGATCTAATCATGTCCTGAAACACAGCTCCTCTCCTGCTTTCACTTCTCATACTGATGGAGGGAGCGATTTGTTTGTGAATGAATCTCCATTATCAACGACTCCTTCACTAGCCGACAATAATACAAGTTTCTGGCACCGCAGCATCTCGTTGTCATATTTCTTTTTCATTGTTTGCTGATTTTATTCAACAAAGCTAGCATAAGCCGAGTATTTAGTGCGAATTGGAGCTACTTTGACTTATAGTGAATGCAGTAAGTGGCTTTATTTTTATCAATAACGCTACCTGTTTAGCACAAATTTCAGAACATACAAAAACGTAAAAAACTTAATCCTACCTATGGAATGTTCTGCCTTTGGGCTTTGTTTTCTTTGTTTGCTCGTTACTACACTCGTAGACAGCGCTACAGTCCCGCATCTTCACGTAATAACACTTGTCTAGTGCGACTGAATGACATTTGTCCTGGGAGCACTGTACCAATGTGGCGGCGCTATTGACGCATGCTCAGGGTCATTATACAATATCTAGTGTATATATCTATGTAACAAATTGAGGTGCAGGGAAAGGAGGCGGAGTGGAGCGACAACGCGGGTAATCCTTCACAAACTGAGGAGCGATCACAAACCGAAAGCGGCGAGAGCGTCAAAGTAGCCAGAAGTCATTCATTTTTTAACGAGAACCGGCGGCGAGAAACAGCGGCGCGTCTTCATTGGCTATGACGCGGTTCGGCGGCAAGCAATCAGAATGAAGTAGTCCACCGCTTGAGAGGTGTTCAGAGAACACAGACCTGTGAACTTTGGTTCCGTCCACAATTGTTCCCAAGAGTTTGATTATTGCGGTTCCTGGATTTTCAATTTTTGAAAATCGCGACGACGTGGGGCCCCCTAATCACGCGGGGCCCCCCCCCGCGGTGCGTGCCCGTCTGCTACGCCACTGTCAACAAAACACTGCTGGACTAGAAGTAAGAAACGCTTGTGTCAGGGGATGAGCCCAGGGATCTGAGACCAACAAGATAAACAGTTTTGAGCACCGTGTTTAAAATAGCAGCGAAAAACAATGCTGAGCACATTATCAGTTTTTTTGTTTAGTTCGAGAACAGTACTGACATTTCAGAAAAAACTATTTCCCTGTTAACATTTAAAGTGGAAGTGAAGCAGTCAGTGAAGTTTACATTATTTTGTAAATTGGTTTCCACTTTAAAGAGCCATGACACCCCCCACTTTTGGTTTAAGTCTACCTCAGAATTAAAAAAAAAATTCATCATAATGGGCGTGGAGCTCTGAGATCAGAGGCAGGAGTGGGCGTGGCCAGCGGAGAAGGAGGGGATAGAACAACTGTTGTTAGTTGGCTCACAAAATGAAACACAAATCCTGAGGAGACGTATGATTTTATAGTTTAAACAGTAATTTAATGCCCTGCTACGTTTGTCATTTGTAATTTCATAGACTCAACCACAATTTATATCGTTATAAAGATATTGGTGTTCCTAAACACTATAAAGGAGGACTTCTCCCTTAATCCCTGGGTCTGAATGCAGACTCAGTGCAGCAGGTCTCTTGCCCTGTCTATTTCAACTGAATTGGTCTCAATTCTTGCTGATAATCTCAAGGATTTAGGCGAACACAGCAGCACGCCGATGTGTCTAAATATGAACAAACTCCACTAATAAAAGACAAAGTCCGCCATACTTGTACAGCTCTCCTGACAAAAATGCTTGCTGCAAACAAACAGCTTTGCTGTATCGGCCCTGACAGGATCGTGGGGAAAAACATGCAAGAAACCCTGTGGATCATGGAAACAAACACATACGACCCTTCATGAACGGCGAAATACTGTGTGCCGTGGCTGCGTGGAAGAGGTCTCACCCAGTCATCAACATAGGGTCTCACAGCTTGGCACTGGCAGGTCTGTCTTGCCTTCGGAAAGCACACGCATTCATGATTTTTTAAGAAACAGGCTTTTCTCATAGGATAAGAAAACTCAGCTATGAATAAATAATGAGAAACTGACACGTCATATTTGCACTTATGTCACCGATTTTGATTCCGGCCCAAAAATCATTTTAAACCCGGAAGCTGAAATTAGCTGACAAAAGCTCAAAATTATCCAGTTTTCCCTCAATTAACACTGACATGTGCTAACATTGTTTTAACTGACGCTCAACACACAAATCTTTTAAAATCTGAAAAAAAGTACTTGAGGGTTTCATGAACCTTAAATGAAAATATATTCAATGCTTGGTTGATGAAACCATTTTGAAGAAAACAGCATCTTTTACTATAGCTTTTAGCGCAAGGGGGCAGCCATCTTGGATATTCCACATATGACGTCATGGTTTTGATTCCGTTGCCTCAGCTGAACAGATAGTGTAAATAATGGGCTGAACACAGAGACTGAAAAGCCTAATTTTACCTAATGCATGAAGTTGTGGATATGCTTAACAGAGCTGCTGCAAATACAAGCATCAAAGTTGTGTCCAATATAAACAAAAATAATTTTACGTTTTCTTTTTTTCTTATTTTAATACCTTTCGTTTGATGCGCTTTGGTCTACTCTCTCTCATGCTGCTCCAGTGCTGCCTGACGAGGGGATTTACATTCAGACTAATGCAATGATTAAAGCACAACCAACATCACGCTTTAAGTCAAGTCTTTGTTGATTGTCAACACATATTCCTTTTTCAAGTGGATCAACTTGATCCCTCAGCAAGTATAAATAAAGTAAAAAAACTGCCATGTGAAAAACCATGCTAATCTTAGTTTGGTTTGAACATGAAAAGAGGTGAGCAGCTGTAGTAGTAAAAGGTGAAATTACCCCCTTACGTCAGCACCGGATCTTGGTGAATCCATAGTTGAAACCCATTCAGGCAGCAGAATACAGAGAGTGGCCCAAAGCGCATTAAATAATCTGTAATTATAAGGGGAAAAAATAAGAAAAACAGATTTAAATATATTACACACATCTGATGCTTGTATTTGCAGCAGCTCCGCGTCCACAACTTTACGCATAAGGTTAAATTAGGCTTTACAGTCTCAGTGTTCTGTCCTTTACTTCCACTGTATCTGTTCAGCTGAGGGAACAGAACCAATCCCGTTATGTCACACATAGCAATATTCCAAGATGGCGGCGCCCTTTTTTAAAAAGCTATAGTAAAGCATGCCTTTTCTTTAAAATGGTTACATTAATCAAGTTTGTTTAATATATTTTTTAATTAAAGTGAAACCCAATTTACAAAATGTTAACTTGACTGACTGCATCACTTCCACTTTAAGCACTGTTGAGTATGTTCTTAAACAGCGCTGATTTTCCCTTGTGCTCACCAGAAATGACTGTGATTGGCAGTTCACCACATTTCACTGCTGTTTACTGAGTTCAATCACAGATACAGGAACGGTGTAATGTTTTAAAGCCGTCATAACTGGTTTGTCTATGAGCTTGATATTTGCGGCTTTAAGATTTGTGAAGATCAGTGAACTGATTATCTTCTCTCCCAATTACCGTCATTTCTGTTGACACATCTGTGTTTAAGTACGTGCTTAACAGCTCCCAAATGTTAGCAGGAAATGGAAGTTTGTAAAATGTCAGTATCGATTAATACTGAAATTCCAGTATCGTGACAACACTACTGCAGATACACATCATTCTCCTGTTCTCTGTCTGTACAAGTTACAGCACACTGCATGAACATGTTTTTATTGCTCATAATTCTCTTACTTTTCAAACTCTGATTCCTAAGCATGTAGCATGAACATAAGTTGATTTTGATGTTTGGATGCTGATAGAGGTTAGCATAGTTATTAACTTTAATAATAATGCATCATTGATGTCGTGTTTGTATTTGATGCTTGTAAGTTCTTGTCGCTGGGAAAGATGAGACACATTCAGTGATGTCGGAACTGGCTCTACGTTGGCTCTTGATTCTCTGGAAAGCAAATCAGTTCTGACATAATGGCTCATGAACCAGTTCTGAACCGACAATAGCACTGGCTCTGAACTAGCATCTGGTTAATGTTGGTGTGAAAGTAGGATATGGGTTGCAGGGGTGTCCAACCCTATTCCCAGAGGGCAATTGACCTACATTGACTTCAATCTTAATTAAATCTGCCAGAATCAGCCAATCGATGTCTTCAGACTCATTAGAAAAAGTCAAGTGAAAAATAAGTTTTCCTGTTTCAGTAAAATATTTTATCTTCCTTAAGTTGGGAGCAACCATTCGGTACATTTTAGCATCTGCTTTACAACACCCTAACAGCCTCCTTCATTACCTCAATAAACACACTAGCAGCAGAGTTCTCTGAAGATTTCTGGCCCTCTTTTTCCTCAGAAGAGCATGCACCCGAGGTCAAGCCTGATCCGTCACCTCCTGTGGTGAAGAAGGAAGAGCCTGTAATCACAGAGGTGAAGACACAAGATGGAGCCGCCCCTGTTTCCACCGCGGCTCCACCAACTGCCTCTAGCAGCAGTGGCCGTCGGAAGAAGAAGCAGAAGGTGGAAGCTGCTGTCACAGGTAAGAATAAACCATCATCAGACAAATAAATGGGGTCAGAATCTTAGTTCCATCAACACTATGAACATAAAACAAAAAGTATTATGTCAATACCTGAGCAGCTATGTGTTATTATCGAGCTTTCCTATACTGTCTACATTTATTAGGATGTGTAAATATGCCAGATCCTCCAGTATTTGGCCATATTTGTTATCTCTGAATTCACTGAAAATAGCCTCGAGTTATCAATACTGGTTTTTTGTCTGGTTTGTCATCCATGTATTTGCATATGAAATGTGTATGTTCCATACAAGATGAAACTGATCGCTCCTTGTCTTGTGACTCGCAGTGTGCTTCCGGTATTCATTCAATTTTTGCGTCTGGAAGCCAGGCACTTCCATTGGAAATAACAAATATGTGCAAACTCTATATAAGATTCAATATGCCAACTGCCCCTATATCAGTTGATCTTCTTGCTCAGCTATAAGAATTCACCTGATTTGTTAGCAAATGGGTTGCGGATCTAATCCTGGGCTGTTCGCTGGTCCTTCACTAGACCTTTTTGCCTTATTAAAGAAACTTTCCAAGGACGTCTGTTTCTTACTCATTTTGGTGCTTGTGAGTTAATTTTGGGTGCTCAAGTGATCAAGATGTATGTGAGAGAATATGGTCATTTTTCAAAATAATTTTGTTTTCAAAATAAAAGATTGTTCAGATAATAAATAAAACAGAAATAATTAATGATTTCTTGTGCGGTCCGTTACCAATTGATCCATGGACCAGTACCGATTTGCGGCCAAGTGGTTGAGTGTTTTTGTTTTTTTGAAACAAAAGTATTTTGTACAGAGGTAAATATTCTTACTCATCTTCTTTTGTGTTTCACAGAAGAATTAAAGTTATGTTTGTTAGGCAAAACATAGTGATGACATGATTCTAATCTTAAATAATTCTTGTGGTTGTTTTTGTTGCAGTGGATGAGGCTCATGTTCAGTCCTCTGCTCTGGTCATTCAGATAGGCTCCGCCGCACCAACAAACCACCAGAACAACCAAAACAATGACACTCCGCCTCCTGTTCCAGCGCCTGCCAAGCATGGCAAGAAACAGAAGAGTGAAACCAATAAAGGTACATGGCAGCATAGAGTAGCCTTTACATATGACTCATTCTTGATGTGCTTGAGCATTCTAAGCATTTTTCATTCATTGTCCTTAAACTGGAATGATAAAACATTAAACATTCCATTAATAATGCAAAAATAACTCAAATATGCTTAAATGTTATAGAGAACATTTGATTTTGTTACTAATTGTTGTTTAAATTTAGATGCTAACTCTAATCTCACGATGCTAACCTCAAACCTGATAGCACAACATTCATCATGTTGTTTTTAAGAAGTGAATGAGAAATTTAATGAAGTATCACAAAAATGGAGTTGACAATAATTGATCTACTATTGGTGTAAACGTGTCCTAAACATTGCACAAATAATATTTTTAAAACCGCAAATACATATTATACAGAAAATAAATGTTTCATTCAATCGTTTATATAACTTAGTTGAATAAACACACAAAATGATTAAAAAGAGATTATTTTTGCATCCTTTGAGACAAGTCCTTTAGCCCAGGCACTGGTCGTCTTTTATTTATTTACATTTTGATTAAAAGTCTGATTTTTGATCTGATATCTCCGATTTTTGCAGTTAGTCAGAGCAAAACAAAAATAACAGACTCCTATTGAACTCTACTGCGTAGAAGAAGAGCAATCACTGAACAAGAATAACAGTGCGCTCAGGTGCGCCCTCTTCATTGCGGCAGAGCTACTTCCTGCCTTACCTCATGTCTTTTCAGTGCGACTTTGTCAGATTCTAACACTAAATAAGTTATAGACATAAGTAAAATACATTACCCATTATATGGAAAGTGAGGACATATAATAAAAATGTCTACAATGTATAAAACATTTTAATAAAGCATTACATTGGTAGCAAACACTGAGTATGCAAAAGCCAAGCCAGTTTGCAAGTGATTGCACAATCTAACGTGAGGCACAGCTCAATGCTGTTTCAGCTCGCTTTCTACACTGTAATTTAACAGGTAATGCGCAAAAATAGAGCGATTTTGATTATTAGAAGGCTTGAAATTATTTGAATCATACAGAAATTGCATTTGTAGCACAGATCAGTCAACAAATATTTATATTATCATTAGTATACATCTTATGATGGCAGGTAAGGATGATGACAGTGCCTCACCTGCCTCCCTTGACCGCGTCCCTGCTACATATCCATTCAAACATTGTTTTTTAGGTATAACTCAGTAGATTAGTAGAATAGTAATGTAGATATTTCATTTAAAGTTTTTGTTTTTGAAAAGTAATAGAAATTTATTTTTGGAGATGCAAAATGTACTTGCAATTCTAGACTCGCCTATAAAAACATTGACATTAATATTTGGAAAATGTAGACTTAAATTAGTTTAAGGGGACATGAACTGAGAATAAATATAAAAGGTTATTGTGTCATTAAAATACAGTGACCTGTAAATTAAACATTTTTGTTATTCTAAACCGTTTATATTAAAGCCAGTCTGTCAAAATGGCAGATGCCTCTTTATTATGTAATATTATGGCTTAACTCGATCTCTGCTAAGGATCAATTTGCCTTCTCCATCGTTGCCTGTTTAGCTTTGCACACTGATTCGCAAAATTAAAGTTAGAGTTAAACGCAGGTCTACATTTATAATAAATGATAAAAGTCTTCTTCTCTTCACTGTCTTCAAAGAAAATTTTCACTAAGCCATTGAACTTACCTCAATGCATAATGGTATGTATGTCATCCTATCTTAGATTTGGCCTAAAGAGGTATTATTATTAGACAAAACTTATGATCTTCATAAAGTATTGCCCATTAATGGTTTTGAAAGTGTGAATTTTTTTTCTTGATTTGTGTTCTGTTTATTTTCCCACAGAGAACTCTGAGGTGAAACTTAAGGAGCTTCTGGCCAGTATTGGTGGACTCGTGCTGTCAGATTCAGATGTGGTCAGTCTTGTTTCACTGCTTCGAGAAAAGAGTCCCAATGCTCTGGACAACTGGTATAAGGTAATAGGATAGAGTTCACTTTTATTATTTTGTTATGCATTTTTGAAGTAAAAGTGAAAGTTTGAGTTGATTTTTCCACTGCTTTTGTTTCTTAGTCTACGGCTAAATTTGAGCCTACCCCCCAGCAGCTGGCAGAGAAAGATCGTCTCCTGAACACATTACAGGAGGAGGCGTCCATCGCCAAGGGCAAAGTCAAACAGTTAAGCCAGGTTAGTAATTTACCTCCATACAAGTTTCCTGATGTGAATTTAGATATGTTTCCTTGAAAGGGGTACAATTTAAGATTTAAGGTGTTCTTCACCCCCATAAAAGACTATTTGCTGTTAATTTACTCAAGCTCAGGCCATCCAAGATATAGAAGACTTTCTTTTTAAGTAGAGCATTATAGAAGATATGAAGCTAATTATGTCGTCTTCGGTGATTCATACAACTCAAGTCAGTGTCAAAATCGGTCTGTGCAAGAAACATTTTGTACAATGAGAAATTTAGAACATTGGACTCTTGGAGGAAAAATTTTTCACTATTTATTGCTTACATTTAGGTTTAATTGTTGTTTTTGTTACTAGCAAATAACCAAATAACACAAAGCAGGGTTGTAAAGACCTCAGTTAGGTAAGTTACCAAAACTAAATTAGACTTCATATAAACCTGTGCATATAAAATTTAATTGCGTAATTATGAGAAAATGCTGTGAATGAACAATTCTGACATTGATAATGAACTATTTTAAGTACTATTCTTTATAACACTAACTGTTGAAAGGGTTAAAATGCTTAAATCTCTTAAAATGCATTATTAATTTGAAGCCCTTTTTTTGCAAAGTGCCACATAAACACTGTAGTTGTGATCGAAAATCGATACCATATAAATTGAGCTGTGTGAGCTTTATTTGATACTAATTTACTGAATGGGATTTCAGGAGCTGCAGGCTGAGAAGCAGAAGACGGGCCGCGTGGAGTCTGTGCTGCATGAACATCGTGTTGCCAGAGATAAGGACATCATGCAGGCTAAAGCTCAGAGCTACCAGGAGATGCAGATTAAGGTAATCAGTCTCATTGACCAATAAAGTGGTCAAGCAGACTATAGGCAGATTATAGCTTGTTTTCCACTGAGCTTCATGGTGCTATATAGGACAGCGCAAAATTATTTCTGTTTTCAAAACAGCATATCATATTGTGCCAATCAGGGATGAACTGAATTTTCAGCAATCGAAAAATTAGACAAAAATGGCATTTTCGGGTTTTAGACGACAGTATGAGCCAAAAAAATGTTATGCTGCTCCCAAGTGCCTTACTGAAAAAGCAAAGTTTGCCCAAATAACACATAGACAAGAACTTTCTATGTAATAATTATTCCTGCTGCTTGCAATAATGCTACTGTGCTGTCATGGCATTGCTGGTAAAATGATCCCTCTTGAGTAATCATTGACAATAAAATGTGCTTATTTTATTGACGTTTTTTTTTTTTTTTAATCAGTATAATCTAAGCTAATGGGTTCAATTTAAAAAGTCATACATGCAGTATATTATTTAATAAAATAATCTAAAATTAATACAAAACATTTTTGTAGGAGTGGTTTTGGGTTTTTGGCATTCAGAATTTTCTCGTTTTGGCCCAAAAGTTTAATTTCGATGCATCTTTAGTACCGAATTTTTGTTATTCTCCTGTCTGATTCCTGAAGAGTGAAGCTAGCTGGACACAATGGTCTTTTGAAAGCACATTAGAAGGCAATGTGTATGTAGTATGGTTATGTTTAAGTTCATTCAATGACAATTGAGCTTTTTTCTCTGCAGTTTCAGCAGATAAGAGAACAGCTGGATGGTCAGATCGCTCGACTGCAGCAGGAAAATGGTATTCTGAGAGATGCAGTGGAGAGATGCTCTACCACCAATCAGATGGAGACTAAGTGAGTCCCGCCAGGTCTCTTTTGGTCCAGTTGTAGTGTTAGTAAAGTTATTATTTTTTTTACACGAAAACCACCTTCAATTAGATGCCTAGCTTTATCTGTCTGTCTGTTCTCCCAAACCAATCCATCCATACTTCCCAATCCATTCCTTCCCTCCCAATCCATTCCTCCCTCCCAATTCAATCCATGCCAATCCACTCACTCCCAATTCAATCCAGTTCCTTGCCCCTCCCATATTAATCCATCCATCCCCCCTTCCTCCCTCCCATTCCAATACATCCCTCCATCCCAATCCACTCCCTCCCACTCTCTTCCAGTCTATCCCTCCCAATCCAATCCATATGTCCGTCCCCTCCCAATCCATCCATCCATCCCCTCTCAATCCATTCGTCCATCCCCTCTCAATCCATTCGTCCATCCCCTCTCAATCCATTCGTCCATCCCTTCCCCATCCATCCATCTCCCCCCAATCCATCCATCCTCTCATAAAATCAATCTGTCCCTCCCTTCCAAACTAATCCAATCAATCCCTCCCAATCCACTCCCTCCCACTCTCTCCCAATCCATTCATTCATCCATCCATTCATCCATCCATCCATCCATCCATCCATCCATCCATTGAGTGCCAGCAGGGGCACTCAACCTGCGATCTGTGTTGGTCCTAACACAGCAGTATATTGATGGGGAATCTATACTGCTCCGTGAGCGCTGTCTTTCGGATGTGATGATAAACCGAGGTCCTGACTCTCTGTGGTCATTAAAAATCTGCCAAATCGGCCAAATTTTCCCACTTGCCTCTGTCTATCATGGCCTCCTAACCATCCCTATATCACAATTGGCTTCATCACTCTGTGTCCTCTCCACCAATCAGCTAGTGTGTGGTGTGCGGTCCGGTGCAATTTGGCTGCCATCGCATCATTCAGGTGGATGCGGCACACTGGTGGTGAATGTGGAGATTCCCCTCGAATTGTGTAAAGTGCTTTGAGTGTTCAGAAAAGCGCTATATAAATGCAACTAATTATTATACCCTCCCAATCCAACCGTCCATCCCATCCAAATCCATTCGTCCATCCCCTTAAAATTCATCCATTTATACCCTTCCAATCTATCCATGCCTTCCCAGTCCATCGCCTCCCAATCCAATCCATCCCTTTCATCCCAATCCATTCACTCATCCCCTCCCAATCCATCCGTCTGTCACCCCCAATCCAAACCCTTCCAATACAATCCATCCATCCATCCATCCCCTCACAATGCAATCCATCCGTCTGTCCCCTTCCAATCCATCCATCAGTCCCCTTCTAATCTATCCGTCAGTCCCCTGCCAATCCATCTGTCCATCTCCTGCCAATCCATCCATCCGTCCCCTGTCAATCCATCCATCCATCCCCTCCCAATCCATCCATGCACTCCCAGTCTATCCATACCCTTACAATCCAATCCATTCATCCCCCCCTAATCCATCCATTAATCAATCCGTCCTTCCCCTCACAATCAATCCGTCCCTCCGCTCCCAATCAATCCGTCTATCCCCTCCCAATCCATCCATCCATCCCTCCCTCCCAATCCATTCATCCATCAATCCCTTCCAATCCATTCATCCATCCCCTCCCAATCCATCCATTCATCCACTCCCAATCCACCTGTCCATTCCCTCCCGATCCATCCATCCCAATCCAATTTATCCCAATCAAATCTATTCCGATACAATCAATCCCAATCCAATCCATCCCTCCCTCTTAATCCATCCACCTCTATCTCCCAATCCAAAAATATTTTAAACATATTTTATTCACGATTCACTATTTTATTCACATCATCAACTTTCAAAAATGAAAGTTGCTGCTCAGATAATACGGTAAAAAATTAAATTATATCTATTTCTTTGGCTCAGACACAGAATGCAAAAATAATGACAGATTTTACAAGAATTATGAGAATTAAGGGAAAAAAGAACCAATGAGAGTCCTTCTGAAAAAAAAAAAACTTCACAAGTTACATTGTGTTATTAAGGAATATCAAGAAAAATGAATGATATTTTACGATGATGTGGCATCTTCAGAAAGTTCAAATGTCGAGTTTAGTTGTCATTTGATTATTATTGTGTTTTCAGGCAGTCATCTGAGCTGAATAAACTTCGTTCGGAATACAACAGCCTCATGAAAGAGCTAGCAGAGACCAAAAACAAGCTTCAGCAGGAAGAGTTGCAGCGGAAGGGTCTAGAAGTGAACTACAAGCAGAATGTGTCCCAGCTGGAGGTGCACTTCACATAACACCCATAAAACCACTGCACAATAAACACTTTTGATCTGACTCCTGCTGTCAGTACACCACATGAGACATTACACCATAAATTAGCGGTGTTTTATAATGTACTTGCACTATATATTAAACTACGTCAAATAGTCACAAGCTGTGCCAAGCATTCAGACAAGTTTGGCAATTGATTAGTATTTTCATTTACAAGGATTCATTTTTATTTCCCCTATGCCACTAGTGGCTGAAAACATTAGGTTTTTGCAGTATAAGGGGCTCTTGAAAACAGCTGAACTCATCTGTTTTAGTTTTCACTACTGTTATTTATTATTCCCAACACTAAAAGAGGTCTGTCTTTTACCGCAGGATGCCAAACATCGTTGGGAAGATCTGCAGAACTATTTGCACAGTGTAAATGCAGAGAGAGAGAAGATTCAATCAGGTAAACACGGTAGAAATACTTTTTTTTAGATATCTTGGAACAGATTTTTTGAACAGGGTAAAATTAGCAGATGAATGTAATCCCCGTAAAAGTGCAGATGAGTGTGGAAAGTTCTGTCGATGAACTACTGACATTGAGCCATTAAAATAACAGACCCAGCCAGATAATTTTCATAAAAACCAATGCAAATTGCTTGGAGCAGTGCAAATTGCGGTTTTGAATAAAACCAAATCTTAATCTGTGGCATTCCAAATAATAATCTTTATGGAATAATATAATACAACACACTACATATTGAAACATGGTTGATGTTTTTTATAAAACTGTAACCGATTAAATTGCTTATTTTATTGGACTTCAAGTCAGCAATTTATATAACACTTTAGTGTTAGTTGTTGAATATTATCTTACAATCATAAATATTGCGACTTTAAGGGCGCCTTTATAAAGAAGAAGATACCTAGGCTTAGTCAAATAATGAGAGATCGCTATGTGAAAATTGCCACACCATGACAAAAACTATAGAATACACAAGACATGTCACTGGTATAGTTTTGAATGGGGAAAAGTGTAACGTCAATATGTCGAATGAAGCCCCGCTTTCTAGTACAAGAGCCAATCACTATAGACTGTCGTTTCTCCAGCTAGGAGCAGACGTGTGGTTTTACAACAGTTTGGTGGGCAACAAACACTGGAATCTCAGCGAATACTTGCTTCACAGACATAAGACATATATCCATATAAAGCTTGTAATCTGTACTTTTAAAGGAACCTAGTGCACTTGAAAATAAAAGTTTTTTTGGTTTTGTAATCTATATGAAACCAAAATGACGAACAGTTTGTCCTGACAAACGCACATCACTTAACAGCAGCAACTACTCAAACGCCCACAAACTTGTAAACAAAGAATTACTATTATCTCTGGAGGAGATTCACCATCAAGACCAAGTTGTGAATTACTTCAGAAGAGCAGCACGATCAGGTGAAGCATTATTCAGAGGGTGATGATGTAGAATGGCCATAAATGAGGTTGATGTTGTGAACTTGTTCCTTTCGAGGGCGCATTAGCTTGGGCACCCTGAATAAATGCAGATTTAGTTTGATTCACATTCGGTTTAGACACTAAACTGAGACAGATTTTGCTTACTTTTATTGGTGATTTCAAGTATGTAATATAATCATTAGCTTGGCAAACAGTTTTGGAGAATTTGATGATTACCCATTCAGACAGAATGCCCGAGCACACTGAAAAGAGGTGTTTTAAAGATGCAAAATGTCTTGCCCTAAAGGGACTTTGATCATAAGCTCCAGACACCATTGTTTCCTCATAAATTTGGAATTCTGAAATTCTGTAAGTGCAAAACCCCGATGAAAAATAGTGTTATCAGAACACAAAACAGACTGTTGCGTGATTCACGGAGCACACCCTCAAGATTTGTATGTACTTTAGGTCACGTTTTACTCATCCGGACCTGACGGGCAGCTGTATCATCAAGAAATCATCAGTCAAAACATAGACTGATACTAGAATGTTGCTCTGGGATCATTAATATGCATGCTCCAGGCTACGGTTGATATGCTACAACATTCTTTAGTGAGACAAATTTATATATTTTTTTTTAAGTTTATCTGAGTTTATATTAAAATGACTATATATGGGACTTTTATTTTGAAAACGGGAGATGCAGATTTTTTTTTTTATGTTGCTATGCATTGACTTCATGAGCCATCTGTTCATAAGCTCATTGGAACACTAAATACAACAAAACAGTACAAACAAAAGCCACAGTACGTTTGATTTGTTTTGTTTCGACTTAACAAGTAATTTATTTATTATATAAAGGCCCACAGTGGCTGCTCCTACCACAGCATATTCAAATTTTCTTTTGATCTTTATCATCGTTTTATCAGGAAGTGACAATTTTTTAAAATCTTTGACACATTAAACGAAACAGTACTTTACTCGCAAAGGTTTTATGCTGTTGTTCATTTTTGCGCATAAATCTGGTTTGCATCCTTGGATGTAAACAGCGCTATTGACAGGAGCCATTGAGCAAAAGTGCCCTCAGAAGTGTAGCACCACCGCTTAACCTTTTTTTCACTGTCTATTCCAGAGCTGCAGAATCAGATAATGGTAGCGGAGAGCGAGATGGCCAGTAAGAACAAGGAGATCCAGAGTCTCCACAGCAGCCTGAAGGACACGCTGATGTTCAAGGATCAGGAGCAGCAGAAGGTGTTGCAGCTAGAACAGCAGGTTCGGCAGCTGTTAGAGGCCTCGCAGCGCTCCATGCAGCCTGATGACCAGCTGCAGGAGAAAGTCCAGGTGCCTCCTCTAGACACTATATACTACAGAAGCCAATTCAATAGTTATATCAATGCTAATAGTCACATTATGTCACTCTTTACAGGATCTTCTAAATGAAAACAAAACGCTCAAGGTTCAGATTGATAATCTTCAGACTCAACTCAACACTCAGGTATGTGTGTGGGCTGGTAGATGCGGGTGAATTTGCCTCTGTTTGTTGGTGGACATTAATTTGAGTATTTTTGTCCTTTCTTTTAGGCTACGACAGTATCACATTTTGAGGAGCTCCAAAAACTGTAAGTCATCAGCACAAAGCATTCTTGTTTTAGCATTTTTTTTCAGTGTGAAACACTAAGGCCTGTTTCATACTGCATATATAGTTGCCGGTTAGATATTAATGATCAAACTGATCATGCGTAACAGAGGAATTGCTCCACGAAATGTTGAAAATGTGAATTTGTTTGGTGTTAAGTGCTGAAACCAAGGGTTATCACGGTACCAAAGTTTCTGTATTCTTTAGCAGTGAAAATACACAGTTCTTGGTACCAATTTCTACAAATAATAAAAAAACCACACTAATTAAACAACCCAATTTTTATATTAAGTAAAACTGCTGTCAAACTATCAATTATGGAAGAGGGAGCACTTCACAGAAATTTTAACTGTAATCTTTGTAACTCTTTAAAATCTAAAATAAATTATTGTCATCTATTGATGTTTGCTATTAAAGTTTTTTAAACGAATGGTCCATTAGTTAATGTTAATGTTTACCAATGAACAAACAATTAGGCCCAATCCCAATCCTACCCCTTAGCCCTACCCCTTGTTTTGTGCATTCATGTGAAGGGGTAGGTGTGTCCCAATATTTTTTAGCTTGAAGGTGTAATGCTAAAGAGAAGGGCCAGATATCCCTTGAAATAGATTTGTTAGCACCTTACTAGAAACCAAGGGGTACGAAAATTTCCCTAAACACACCATCTACAACAGCAACGTTTCTGCACACAAATTATTATTATTATTATTTTTTACAATATTAAGGATTTTTACAACAAAAAATCACATTTTATCACATTCATTGCGGGATTCGTGTTTTACCATCATGCTTTTTAAAAATAAAACAATAAAAACAGCTACATTTCGGTATCTATAATCCCTAATAATAACTCCTGTATGATAGTCTCAGAAAATACTTTTACAATTGTCACTCGATGACTCTAATATCCTGTCAGAAAAGTCTACCTTTTTAAGGAAAAGAATTACCTTTTTACAGTGTCTGGTATGTCCCATTTCTTTGGGGTAAATTTAAAGCACTTCCCCTTCACATTGTTTTAAGAACCAAAAAGCAGTAAAAAAAACACCAAAAACAGTAAGAGTGTCAAAGCAGCCAAAAGTCATTCATTTTCAATGAAAGCCGGCAGCGATAAATGACGATAAGCGGCGAGAAGCAGTGTGCCGCGTCTTCGCCGTTGTGGGCGTCGAGGAGAGTTGAAATCAAAAAACTTAATGGTAATGATTTGGTTCAGCGGCAAGCAATCAGAATGAAGAAGTTCACTGCTTGAGAGGAGTCCAGAAAACACAGACCTGAAAAACTTTAGTTCCGACCACAATAGTTCCCAAGGGTTTGATTATTGCGGTCGTCGGATTTCCAATTATTTGCAATGTTTTCTTACAGGAACATGCATTAAATAAGTTACTGGCGAGTTACTGATGTGCATTAATGTTAAAGTATTTATCTTTAAAAAAGCGAAAAAGGGAATCTCATGCGACAGTACAAAACAGTATTGCTGCTTCAGGATATTTCAGACATATGGACATATTTGATAATTAAGTGGAGCAAAGCCTCACCACAAGCTACTTGATCTTCCATTGTTAAATGAATTTGGTAAAAAGTGTGCAACATTTCACACTAGAAAGCACATTTTAGGCAGAAATGTAACTGATATGCTGCAACAGCCCCTTTAAATACGAGATCAATGTATCGAATTTTGACGCTCTTGCTGCCGGAGCCAAATCCAGACAGTGTGTTGCCAGGGCGGCCAGAGCGACCTTTGACGCTCTCGCTGCCTTTTGGTGTGAACGCACAGTTAGTAATTAAGTTATTATATCTTCATTAGCCTTAAAGTTATTTAAGGTAAATAACATTAATTCATGTTCCCGTGCATTAACTAATGTGAAGAAGCACAACTTTTTCTTAAAATTCCTAATAGATTGAACGATTATTAATAAATGCTTAATAAAACATTGTTCATACTTAATGTTAGGAAATACATAAATTAATGGACCATTATTCTGTAAAGTTACCAAAACATTTTAATATTATGTTATTTTGTGTATTCATTTAATATTATGTCAAACGAATAAGGGAAATAAATGAAAAAGGAATTTGATAATTGGCCTAGAGCGGGAACCCATAGCGTAAACTATTATTGTGTTATGCAGTTGCGTGGCAGTCAACCAAACAGCAATAGAATAGCAATAAAAAACATTTTACTTAAACAGTTTGAAGCTACTTTTTGTGGGATCCACTTAGCATAGATTAATTGTGGTAAAACATTTAAATAAGAAACCCTTTTTCCAAATAAACCAGACAAAGATTTTATTCAGAAAATGTTTGAATGGACTTTTTTTTTTAAACGGGTTCTCCAGGAATAATATTAACATTATTTTAATTGTAGGTCAGGATTTTGTAATAGTTTGCTGATTATTGTTATTCATTTATTTTATATGTACTGTATACAGGAAGAAAGACCAATTGTATTAAATGATGAAATGTAACCTGAAATGTAAGGATGGCCTTACACAAAAAATAAATATCCAATTTAGATAAATACATTTCAGTTTGGATGAAGGTGTAAAGTAGTAGCAATAACGTGTTGTAATAACACTCAGTGGCCTTGCAACATTCATTACATCATTTATGGCCCATCTGTTATTGCTTTAAATAAAAAATGAAGCCAATCATTGTTTACTCACCCCAGCATTATTTTACTGCCTTAAGCGTCTCTTTATTTTTCTTAACTCAGAAGGATGTTTGTAAATTAATAAAGTCCTGTTCAATCTTGTCCATCCAGTGGCTGTGAATAGGGGGCAATATTAAGGTCCAATGTGGCACACACTATGTTCCAAGATAACTTCTTATTGTATATGATAGACTTTGGTAGAAAGCAGATGCAAGTTATTATTTGTTTAAAAATTCGACATTGACTCTTTTTATGCTCGATTTACACATTAATGAGAATAAACTAGCACCACGCAGCATGCAAAACACACAATCAAACCATTTGTGTAGCTCAGTATACTCAATTCCTAGTGAAAGATCCGTATTGTTTTTTATTAGGTTTCTAATAAAACCTTATAAAAATCAATTTCTTGACTAGAAATCCACTAATAAACATGTTACCTTCAAGAAAAGTACATAGTACATTTCTATTATCATATAAACTGTTGTGTAATAAAAGTTGTGTCTTGCACAAAGACAAATAATTTATTTTTTGTTAAATAATACACTGCATTTCAGTTTGTAGTTCAGTTGTATCTCCATAACCCAAATGTATTGCAGGTGTCATGCAAAGACCATGCTTTGATACTTTTTAAAAATTTATTTTGGAAGCGTAATGAAGGTCGCTATGCAGACAAGTGTGAACAGGACTTCTTTTTTTTATTATTTCTCTTGTGATATAAAAAAGAAAGCAACACGTAAGGCATTACAACAAAACCAGGGTGAGAAAATAAAAAAATGGTGCCTCAGCTCTTATTTTTGAGTGAACAGTCACATTAAAATGCTCAATAGTATATTATATATCCTTTAAATATCGAGTTTACTAACCTAAAATATGGAAATAGCATGTGCTTGCACGCTAGTGTAGAAGCGCCATGTTAGCTTAATGTTGTTGATCAGATCCTGTGCTAATTAGCTTTCAGTTGCAGAAGCTGCTTTCAAAGCTACTCATAATTTAAAAGACATTTCTTTCACTTGTTGACTTGAGGAAATATTTGTATACTTAATATTATATTTATTTAACTCTGCATTGACCTGCCCATAAATGATCAATTGAGGTTTTTTTGTTTTTGTTTTTTTGTTTACGAATGTCTCTTGCTCACCGAAGCAAATGTCATCAGAAAAACAAATGCAGTCAAATGGTTATAAAGTGGAATATTCAGAGTTTCAGGGTTATTTTATACAGTTGAATTCAGAATTATTACAGATTTTTTTATCTTTGCCATGATGGCAGGACATAATATTTAACTAGATATTTTTTAAGACGCGTCTATACAGCTTAAAGTGACATTTAAAGTGACATTTAAAGTCAGGGCAATAGGCACATGGTTGTATAATGATTTGTAGACTGACAAAATAAAATATTGCTTAAAGGGGCTAATAATATTGACTTTAACATGCTTTTTTAAAAATTAAACACATTTATTCTAGCTGAAATAAAATAAATAAAACCTTCTCCAGAAGAAAAAATATCATAGGAAATACTGTGAAAAATTCCTTGCTCTGATAAACATTATTTGGGAAATATTTAAAAAAGAAATTTCCAGCAGGGCTAATGATATTGACTTCAACTCTACCTCATCTTTTATGCGTCTCTCTTTAGCCTGGCTGAGAAAGAGCTGCAGAGGAAGAGTCTAGAAGATTCCCTCAATGCCGAGAGGAGCAGCGGCGCCAGCAGGGAGACCAACATGCAGGCGAGTGTCTCCAGCATCGCTCTAGATCTCTTCACTTACATTGAAGCTTGATGTTATAATGAACTCATGGCTGTTTCTGCCCTCTGCAGGCCATGCACAATGAGAACCACACACTGAAGGCCGAGCTCCAGAATCTGCAGGCACAGATTTCTGAGAAGGTACTGTTTCGGTTGCTTTCCTAAAGTTATTCATGGAATGTAAATATTAACTCACGACAAGGTTTGTGTTTTCTTTTTCCACAGGTTGTATCTGTGGATCAACTTCAGCAGAGGTGAGGGCTTTTATATATATATATATATATATATATAGTTGAAGTCAGAATTATTATTAGCCCCCTTCAAATTTTTTTCTTTTTTTTTTATATTTTCCAAATGATGTTTAACAGATTCTGGAAATTTTTACAGTATGTCTGATAATAATTTTTCATTCTGGAGAAAGTCTTATTTGTTTTATTTTGGCTAGAGTAAAAGCAGTTTTTAATTTTTTAAACACCATTTTAGGGACAAAATTATTGGCCCTATATTTTTTTCGATAATCTACAGAACCAACCATTGTATGCAATGACTTGCCTAATTACCCTAACCTGCCTAGTTAACCTAATTAACCTAGTTAAGCCTTAAAATGTCACTAAGCGGAATAGAAGTGTCTTGAAAAATATCTAGTCAAATAATATTTACATCAATACAGTTATTAGAAATGAGTTATTAAAACTATTATGTTTAGAAATGTGTTGAAAAAAATCTCTCCGTTAAACAGAAATTGGGGGAAAAAATAAACAGATTGGCTAATAATTCAGGGGTGCTAATAATTCTGACTTTAACTTCAACTGTATTGAGAGAGAGAGATGAAGTTGAAATTATTAGCCCTCCTGTGAATTTATTTTAATTTCCCAAGTGCTGTTTATCACAGAAAAGAGCATTTTCATAAAGTTTTTAAACATAATAGTTTTAATAACTGATTAGTAATAGCTGATTTGTTTTGTCTTTGTCATGATGAAAGTATATAATCTTTCTAGTCATTCTGCAAGATGCTAGTATTCAGATTAAAGTGCCATTTCAAGGCTTAGTTAGGTTAAGATTAGGGTATTTACTGTAGGCAAATCATTGGACAACAGTGGTTTATGTAGCGAATAAAAAACTAATAATATTGTTCTTAAAAATGCTCAAAATAATATTAAAAGAACATTTTTTCCCCAGCCAAATTAAAAAAAAATAAGACTTTCATTAAAAGACTTCATATTATCATATTATGCACATTAATTATTCATCTTATACGTGTGCGTTTGACGCAGAAGTATAAATAAGCCTTAAAGGTGCTGTTGACTTGAAATGTTCACCAGATGTTGAGAACAACCAAAGAAATCCATATATGCAAAGAATTCAAATCTAATTAGTTTACAAATGAAGTTATGCTTAATAAAATGAAATGATGCATGGAAAAAGGATTGAACACATGAAGAAAGGGAGGTGTAGAAAGGCAGTGAAAGACCAGACAGCAGCTGAAATCTCTCAGTAGTTTTTCAGTAACCCCTCTGCCCTTTGTCATTGTACATTTCATATTAGCTGCTTCAGTCCAACATCTACATTAGCAGGATAAAACCAAAGTGGACATTTCAGCAAGACAATGATCCAAAACACAGCCAAGCAAACTCTCAAATGCTTTCAGAGAAAGAAAATCAAGCTGTAGAATAGCCCAGCCAATCACCTGGCTTGAATGCAATAGAAAACACAAATTAAAGATCAGATTTGATAGACGAGACTCACAGAACCATCAAGATTTTTCCTCTGTTGAAGTCTGTGAAAAACGCACACTCGAGCAATGCATGTGACTTCATTCTGCACATGAAAGGCGTCTTTCATTCAACACATTTTTTAGGAAAACTTTAAAGTTTTTGATCCACTTCAAATGTTGTCCTTTATTGTTTGCATTGACTTGATCTCCTTTTTTTATTCATCCATTGTTGTATTATGTATCTGTAGTCTTCAAAAACGAGATGAGAAGACTAGAACGGTTGAGAACTTGCTGGAGACTAGCCTCATTCAGGTGGCCAATAAGGAAGATGAATTAAAGGTGAACTAGACAGCCTTATATTACCTTACCACGACTAATTTATTTATTTTTTTTACATATCTGCATGCATTTGTATATATTTATATATGTGAACTGTATAAGTATGTTTAATGTATTATTTAAGATTTTATTTGGTTTTTTAACAGGTGGTAAGAAATGAGTGTGAAGGTTTGAAACAGCAGCTGGAAGCAGTACAGAAACAGACAACAGAACAGGTAGAACAGAACAAATATGTAATATGTAGAGGAGAGAAATTCATTATTTATTCCCTGCCAAAAGCTGCCCACTCACGTTCTTCCTCATTCCACTCAATTTTTTTCCCCAGACGGTGTCAGAAAAGGCATTAGAAGAGCTACAGCTAAAGTAAGTCACGTAATCATGTCTAGAGATTTTCATTTGAGTTATACAATAATGCCATTTGCTGATGTACGAAAAGCAGCACAAAATCGAGGCCGAACATGAGATGAATTGCTTCAACTTTGGCAGGATTCAAGAGAAAGATGAACAAATCAAATCGGTCGAGGGAAGTTTGCAGTTAGCAGTGAACAAAGAGTCCGAAAGAAAGAAGGTAGTAGAGGTGAGTGTGTTCTGTATGTACTGCTCATTTAGATATTTCATTGCTCTAGATCAGTGGTTCCCAATCTTTTTTATCTTGCGGCCCACACAAAACATGCTTGTGTTTCTATGGTCCACCTGCTATTTGTGATGGGTTGGTAACTTACAATCTGTATTGAACAAACTGCTAATGATTTGAATAAACATCAAATGTTCATAACAGATCACCAAGCCCAAAAAGATTTTTCTCGCAATATTGAAGTTTTGTCCAGGTCTATATCTAGCAATGCATGTTTTCACCATGTAGAAACAGACACCTGTGTGTGGCGATTGCATCGCTTGCTGCTTTTGCAAGAGAAAGAGCCTTAATAATGTGTCCTTGTTGCTTCTGTTAGTTAGATAAAACCAATTTACCCTCTTTTTACCAATTCATCATAACTTTTTTTAACATGTGTCTATTTTGTGGGAGGTAATTTTAGGCATCCACAACCTGTGCAAACATCTTATCAGCTGCACCACAGTTTGCTTATCAAATCAGGTTCTGTGAGTCTCTTGCGTTTCCATTATTATGCCGAATGGTTCTAAAAACAGGCAGGTATATTTTCAGTTGTCCAGCCTGGAACTCCACAGCACGAATACAAATCATTTTAGGCCTGGATTTTAGTCATGGACAGACAACCTTTCTAAACCGTTCTGGACTTGTAGCGTGCTTGTTTGTGTGGCATCGCCACTCTGTTGCCTGGCTACCAATTTTTTCATACGTGGCTAAGTGGAAGTGAGCTATTTAAGTAAATGTCAGGGGAAAATAGGAAATAAAAAATATCTGATTGTTGTCCATATTACTGTTTACATCACACTCATTTTACTCTAAAGAGTTTTGTTATCAGCACTGCAGTGGAAAATTTAACCATTTTTGTGCTGATGGGAGCATATAAGCATGGAATTAAATGGTTAAGCAAACAGAACCGTTCAGCCTGGTAATGGAAAATCAGTTTATGTCAGAGGAGCAGTTAAAACCAGCAAAGAACTGGAACACTGGGCCCGTTGACAGCCATGTGTTCAGCAATAAATACGTTTTAAAGTAGGCAAGGCAAGGCAAGGCAAGTTTATTTATATAGCACATTTCATACACAATGGCAATTCAAAGTGCTTTACATAAACAAGAATAAAAGAAACAAGTAAAATAAAAATAAAAACAAATAATAAAAATGCATAAAAACAAAACAAAACATAAAAACAGGTAAAATGTGATATGAAAGAATGAAGAAGAAGAGAAAAACATGATAATGCAATCTGTCGGACGCAGCACAGTGCTCATTCAGTAAAGGCACAGCTAAACAGATGTGTTTTCAGTCTTGATTTGAATGTGCCTAATGTTGGAGCACATCTGATCATTTCTGGAAGCTGATTCCAGCAGCGAGGGGCATAGTGGCTAAAAGCCGATTCACCCTGCTTTGACTGAACTCTTGGAACTTCTAGTTTATATGATCCTAAAGATCTGAGTGATCTGTTAGGTTTGTATTGAGTGAGCATATCTGTGATGTATTTAGGTCCTAGGCCATTTAGTGATTTATAGACCAGTAATAATACTTTAAAATCTATTCTGAATGTAACTGGTAGCCAGTGTAAAGACCTGAGGACAGGTGTGATGTGCTCTGATTTTCTGGTTCTGGTCAGAATCCTGGCCGCAGCGTTCAGGATGAGCTGCAAGTGTCTGACTGTCTTTTTAGGAAGACCAGTGAGGAGACCGTTACAGTAATCCACCCTGCTGCTGATAAAAGCATGAACAAGTTTCTCTAAATCTTCACTAGAAACAAAGCATCTGATTCTTGCTATGTTTTTGAGATGATAGTATGCTGATTTACTGACTGCTTTGACATGACTGTTGAAACTCAGATCTGACTCCAGAGTCACACCAAGATTCTTGACCTTATTTTTTGTCGTTTGACCTTTAGTGCCAAGGTACGCATTTACCTTGAGAACCTCATCTTTGTTTCCAAACACAATCATTTCAGTTTTCTCTTTGTTTAACTGAAGAAAGTTTTGGCACATCCAATTGCTCATTTCATCAATGCATTGGTAGAGGGTGTCAATGGGGCTGTAGTCATTAGGCTGTAAGGCTAGGTAGATCTGAGTGTCATCAGCATAGCTGTGGTAGGAGATTTGGTTCTTTCTCATTATTTGGCTTAGAGGGAGCATGTAAAGGTTGAACAGGAGAGGTGCCAGAATCGAGCCTTGTGGGACTCCACACGTCATGGGTGTCCACCTCGACCTATGGTCACCTATACTGACATGGTAACCTCTACCTTCTAGGTAAGATCTAAACCATTTGAGGACCGTGCCAGACAGCCCAACCCAGTTTTCCAGCCTATCCAGAAGTATGCTGTGATCGACAGTGTCAAATGCAGCACTGAGATCCAACAATACCAGCACTGTTATTTTACCTGAATCTGTATTTAGGCGTATATCATTGATTATCTTTATAAGAGCGCTCTCTGTACTGTGATGTGCTCTGAAACCAGATTGAAAATTGTCTAAACACCCCCTGAAGTTTAAGAACTTGTTGACCTGGTTAAAAACAACTTTTTCAATGATTTTGCCAATGAAAGGGAGATTTGAGATTGGCCTGTAATTGCTCAATAGGGTGTTATCCAGGTTGCTCTTCTTCAAGAGGGGTTTAACAACTGCAGTTTTAAGTGAGGTTGGAAAAATCCCTGATAGAAGTGAAGCATTTACCACTTTTAGAAGATCCATTTCTAAACAGGTAAACACCGTTTTGAAGAATGATGTGGGGAGCGTGTCAAGACTGCAGGTTGATGTTTTCATAACTTGCACAATCTCTTCTAAAATTTTGCTGTTAATTGCCATGAAATCAGACATAATGTCTGATTTCTTAAGTTGTGGTTGAGCTTGTTTGATATCGACACAACTTGACTGATTGGATGAGCTGATTGCCTTTCTGATATTATTAATCTTATCAGTGAAGAAATGAGCAAACTCATTACATTTGCTTTCAGAGAGGAGCTCACTTGGAATCTGACTGGGGGGGTTTGTGAGTCTCTCTATCGTTGCAAATAGTGTACGAGCATTATTTAGGTTGCTGTTTATAAGGCTTGAAAAGAAAGTCTGTCTAGCAGTGTTTAGTTCCATATTAAAGGCATGAAGACTGTCTTTATAGATGTTATAATGGACTACTAGTTTCGTCTTTCTCCACATACGCTCAGCTTTTCTGCACTGCCTTTTCATCATTTGTACTCTCGGTGACCTTGTCCAAGATCCCTTTTGCCTGCCAGTCATCTTCTTGACTTTAACAGGAGCGATGTCATTTATGACATTCTCAATTTTAGAATTGAACAAATCAAGGAGAGAATCAACAGAATCTGCAGATATACTTGGTGCTAGCGATATAGCCTTCATAAACTGCTCACTAGTGTTTTCATTTATGCATCTCTTTCTGACAGAGACAGATCTGTCTTTAATAGCTGGAGTGATCAATATATCAAAAAAGATACAGAAATGATCAGATAGTGCCACATCCTTAACAACAGTTGATGAAATGTGTAAACCCTTAGTTATAAGTAGATCAAGGGTGTGTCCACGATTGTGTGTGGGTCCTTGAACATGCTGAGTCAGATCAAAAGTGTTAAAAACAGTCATCAGTTCTTTTACAGCATTGATTTCTGGATTATCAATGTGAATATTAAAATCCCCAGCAATACTAAAATAATCAAATTCAGAGGTTACTATTGATAACAGCTCTGTAAAATCATCAATAAAAGCTGGAGAATATTTTGGAGGTCTGTAGATAATGATCAGTAAGATGCGTGGAGACCCTTTTAGTGCTATACTCAGATATTCAAAAGACAGATAGTCACCAAATGACACTTGTTTACATTCATACACATCTTTAAACAGGGCAGCAATGCCTCCACCTCTCCTATTAACTCTAAAAACACTCAAAAAGTCAAAGTTTAAAGGAGCTGCTTCATTCAGAACTGCTGCGCTACAACTGTCATCCAGCCAAGTTTCATTTAAAAGCATAAAATCAAGGCAATTTGTGTTGATAAAATCATTGACTAAAAGAGACTTATTGTTGAGCGATCTTATGTTTAAAAGCGCTAACTTAACAGTTTTAGCTGTTTTTTCTATAGTAGTCTCAGATCTACATTTAATAGACACCAGATTTGAATGATTTGCTAAACGGCCTGATGAAGTCTTTGGTTTTCTGTCACTTAACACAACACATATCTGCTTAGAGAAAGCTACAGACACACTGGGTTCCTGCTTGTTCTGAAAACATTTGATAAAGACACTGTTATCTAAGCAGGTCCCCGACACACATCACAGAGAGCTCTTGTGTTCACCAGCTGAAGATGGGGCGTTGTTGTTTGGGCCCTGGCGGTGTGATCGGAGGGCTCTTCCAGGTGGGCTCATAGGTGGTAGTGGAGCAGGCCGCTTTTTGGTTGGTAACTGGGGGCTTGCGGCAATGGAGTGTGAAAGTTTAGTTCCAGCATACACCAGTTCCTCCATCTTTTTTGAAAAACCCAAGAGTGGTGAACACTGTGACAATGAGAACGTGTCCGGTGACAGAGGCTGTGCATCTGGAGATTCTGTCTGCAGAAATATGTTTTTCTGAGGATCATTTTTGAGCGACGAGACTTGATGCTGTTCTGATGCGTCACAGTCTGCCTGTGTTGAGCAGAGGGCAACTGATAGTGTCTCTATCAACATTGGGTGTTTTGGCTGCGTGGCATTATCACTGTCCTTGGGTGATTCGTCAGCCACAAGTCCACTCAGGAGCTGATTTGAAGTCCTGTGGTCATCTGGACATTTGCTAGGTGTGTGTTTGCAATTCAGTTCAGTGGCATACACAGCTGATGGATGATTGAGGGAGAAAAGAATATTGTCCTTTAGCACCTTTGCACCAAGTTTGTTTGGATGAAGGCCGTCTGATGTAAACAGCTGTCTTTGGTTCCAGAAGAGATTGAAGTTGTCGATAAAATTCAGTCCTTTCTTGTTACATGTTTTCTGTAGCCATACATTTAGACCAAGAAGCCGTGAAAACATATTTGTCCCTCTTGCAGGGAGTGGTCCACTTATGAACGGCTGAACCTTCAATCTTTCAGCTGTTTCCAAGAGCTCAGAGAAATCTTTCTTGAGCAGTTCTGACTGTTCCTTCCGAATATCATTCTTCCCCACATGGATGATAATCCGTTTTGCCGTCTTGTGCTTTTTCAGAATTTCCTCAAGCTCTTTGTTTACATCAGAAACTGTTGCATGAGGAAAGCAGTATGTCATTGTAGATCTGCTCCTGAAATTCTTGATAATTGAATCTCCTACGACTAGTGTTCTTATCTCAGGTGCGATCGGAGCAGAATGTCGCTGTCTAGTCGGCCTTGAGCCTCTGTTCCATGCAGAATTAGTTGCTGAATCATGCGATCTCTGTCTGACTACATTTGGGGATTCTTCACCCATATTACTCAAAACTTCATATCTGTTCTGAAGCTGTATTTGAGTCCGAGCTGTATTTGGGGTAGAAGACGCTAATGCGGCAGCGTATGATCTGACCCCTCGAGTACCCTTTGGTCTCGCACCTTGTTTATGCCAATGCTCATTTTCAACAGTTCTTTTCTGTTTTTCTGTGCTCAAAACAGTAGCAGGAACAGATTTATGGGACTCACCGGCTGTGTGCTGAGAGAATCCACAATGAAGCTGAAGTTCTGGTCGGATCGCAAGCAACTTCGTTTCAAGAACTGCAATCTTTTGTAGAAGTTTGTGGCAGTTTGTACAGCAGTGAGAATCTGAATTAATCCGATCCAGAGGCATTTTCACAGCCGTGTCTTCCCGTCTCCGGAATGTAAGCAGCTGATAGCTGGTAGCGGGAGGATTGTTTAGACGGTAATTCCTTTCTTGTTGGTATAGCTATATTCCAGAAAGTTTGTAGAATCGATGCTGATCTTCAAGCCGTGTTGTTTGAGCACTGTGCTGATAGGCTCAAGTTAAAATTAGGGTATAAGATATAAAAGCAAGAGTGCGAAGAGCGGAGCAGTGGGCAAAGACGTCCGAACAGTAGCAAAGCAGGAAGTTCAAAAAAAAGTAGCAGTTTGATATTAAACCAATTTGTGTAATTGAATTGTTAACCCATAGTAGCAATTTATTACTTATTTCTCATTTATTATACATCAAATTATGACTACATGTTACACATATTATAATATACACACATAATTTTTTTTATTAATAACAGCTGGCGGCTCCGCTTGAATTCCTTCATGGCCCACAGGTTGAAATCCACTGATCTTCGATGTTGTTTTGCTTATGCATTAACATGATGTGTTAAAGACTGGTGCGTATGTGTGTGTGTATGTGTCCACAGGATCTACAGCAGCAGGTGGAGGTTTTAACCGCTGAACTTGCCCATCTGAAAACTCAGGAGTCAAACTCAGACTTGAGCGCTAAACTCCAGGAACTTCATGCTCAGTATGTTTTTCTCTATGGGCCATTTTATTTGCCAGTAAATTGCAGATGGAAAATGCAGAGCAAAATCAGTTTTTAAAGCACTATTATTCTTCCTGTCCAGTCCTCAAAATGTGGACTTCATCACATTGTAAAAATAATGTGGGATTCTTGCCATTAATTTAGCCACATAATTGCAATGCAAAGGTAGAGAGAAGCATTATTAAGTGTCCTTAACTATTCAATTCACCTTTATTTGTATAGCGCTTTTACAATGTAGATTGTGTCAGAGCAGCTTCACATAAATGGTCATTGTAACTGGATCAGGGTAGTTCAGTTTTAGTGTTTATGTTCAGTTTAGTGAGGTTTGAAGTCATTACTGAGAGTCCAAACACTGAAGAGCAAATCCATCGATGAGTAGCTTTTCAGATCCTGAACCATGCAAGCCAGTGGCGACAGTGGAGAGGGAAAAAAAAACTTCACCAATAGGAGAGTGAAGAAAAAAAACTTGAGAGAACCAGACTCGGTCGGACCCGACCATTTTAATTTCTACGCTGGCCAAACTACTATGTACTTACATCAAAAAATAAATTCAATGTACTTACTGTGTTTATAATGCAATTGAGAACACTTGTGGGGCTTTTGAGTTGGGATAGGGGTTGGGTTATGAACAGGTTTGGTGGCATGGGTAGGTTTAAGGGTGGGTTAAGGTGTAAGGGATGGTCAACAGTGTATTTACAAATGTAGTTACAAAAGTTAATTACATACATGTATTTAATCAAGCATAAGTACACAGTAAATACATGTATTTACACAATAATAATAATACATTGTAACAAACTATTAATTCCTGTTTAAGTACATATTAGCTAAGGCCACTTAATATAAAGTGGGACCGCACAAATAAACATCAGGTATTATTGATTTAACTTTTTAGCAGCATGGTCTAAGCCAAATTTGGTGAAAATTGGGCTAACAATCTATAAAGAGTTCAAAACAGCAGATTTTTAAACTAATTCAAGACAGTGGACAGGATGTTGTGTCATTCTATATAGGTTGTAAATAAAACAAATTTATTGTATTGTACAAATATTATTTTAGAGCTTAATTAAGTAATTTGAAGATAAAGTATCTTACGAAACTGTATGAAATCTGCAGTTCAGTGATGCATCTGTATGTCATAGGTTAACAGCCAAAGATCAGGATGTTGAAAGACTCCAGAGAGAATTGGAGAAAGAAATGCAACCGAAGCAGGTGAGAATGCTTAAGAACTTGAACTCCGGTGTCAAAGAAAAAACTATAACAACCTACTAATGCTAAACTTCAGGTGTACATTTGCATTGATGCAGCCATTTATGTCTCCCTTTTCCTAAAGCAAACTGTTTCAGCAGCTCCCAGTCAGGAATTATTAACAGCGTAAGAATCACATTCTTTAATTTACAGCAGGAATGTCAAACTCAATTCCTAGAGGGCCGCAGCCCTGCACAGTTTAGTTCCAACCCTAATTAAACACACCTGATCAAACTAATTGAGTCCTTCAGGCTTTTTTGAAACTTACAGGTAAGTGTGTTGGAGCAGGGTTGGAACTAAGCTGTGCAGGGCCCTCCAGGACTTGAATTTGATATCCCTGATTTACAGTTTGTGTGGATCTCAAACACCTTCTAGTATAATGTCCTTTCATAATATACACATCTGTCCTTAGGCTGGCGGAGAAGGATAAGCGGTTATCTGATGTTCAGGAAGAGCTGCTTGAGTTGAGGGAATCTGTGGAGCTTCATCGAAAGAAGAACAATGTAAGTTGAAAGAGGTTGAACCTGTTTTTGCCTAACAGCTTCTTTTTCTGTAAACGAGTGGGTAGCATCCAAGCTTTAGATTTTCTTGTCTAATGCACATTCTAAAGAGAATGTAAACCTGACCACATGCTGTGTGTCTGTACACCTGTGAAGAGTAAATTCCTTACAAACTTTTTAGTGTGTAAAACCTAGTTCACACTACAGGAATTTAAGCCGACAGATTGGGCTTTGATCTTAAAAATATGTAAGTGCTTGTCGTTGTGTGAACTATGCTTCAAAAGAGGCTCGCTGACAAAAAGCCAATATCTAGCATGCTAAATATTCCAGACCAGTCGACCGACTCTACCCCACATGGGGTCAGATATAGTAACAAGCTGCAGCAAATGTGAGAGCAAGTCATGGCCTTACTGGCCGTTGGCGATTAAGTTAACTTGATTGTTGTTACACATTTTTGTAATTGGATTGAACACAAAACAAATAGGTAGTCCTAAAAACCTCAAGAATTGTTGGTTCAGCTCATTTGAAATAAGTAGTTTGAACAAGCAGCAAAATTGAGTGTATTTGAGTGTATTAAAGCCACGTCTAGCAGCTGAACTTTGCAGATCAGCTGATTGAAGAGGCTTTCAAACTCTCCCTTGAACGCTTTCAGAAGGATTTCAAACATTCTGTGACAGTGATGTCATCATCATCATCATCATCATTACACAGCGGCCAATACACAGCAATTAAACTCAATTACACACACGGCCATTACACACAATACACAGCGGTGTTCTGCTCTTTAGGATGGCTGTTGTTTGGGTGCTACACAGTTTGTTGGGTGACAGATTTGTTGCCATATCATGTAGTGTTTGACTCTTGTGGATCATTTATGTAGTGTGACATTCCAGTGATTTAAAGACACAATAAGCAAGTTATGCTGTCTGAACGGCACACTTGTCTTCCAATGTCTTAAGTCATGTAGTGTGAACTAGGCTTCAGTGATAGTTTTGCCTTGCAAAGAGATTTGGGGCAGGTTTCTGGATCAAAGGTGGACTAGTATGACATTTAAAAGGGTGGTTGACCCAAAAATGTATATTTGCTGTTAATTTACTCATTTCATTCAAAAAATAGGTCAATCTATTTTTTTCTTCTTTAGTTGAACAGATTTTTAGCTGAATTTATATGGTCCTTTTTGTTCAGTGGATCTCAACCAGAGGGTCGTAGCTGGAAACTTAAGCCTGAGTTATACTTCTGCGTCGAGTGATCGCTGTTCCTCACATTGCACATCTTGCATGTAGCATTCTGTTCTGCAATCACACTTTTAAAACACTAGTAGCCAGTGGGATTTTTGTTTTACCATCAAGTTTCTTTGCCAGTGTTTTGGGTTTTTGTTGAAAATGTGTGAGATGCTAATTTAGAAGACCCATTCAGGGAAGGCGGGAGCCACCGAACGTTTAACAACTTGAATCACAAAGTAAAAAACAAAAGTATCCATCTGGAGCTCCTTCACGGGACTCAACACTTGTAAAACACTCTATCTCTACTAGGCTACGTCTGCTCTCTTGGCCTCGGCCACACTTGTTACCACTACTAAGCTGATCAATCACAGATCTTGTGCCCCGTGTCATCGCAACAAGTAATTACATATTTTGAGAGATGCGCATCAGGTTATGCAGAAAGCTATGCAACTGTGTAAAACTTACGTTAGGCCTACTGCATGCATTTGACGCAGAAGTATAAACTGGCGACATCAAAGCAATGATTTAATTTTAAACAACTAAGTATTAAAATAAGTTTAGATTACTGATCCTTTATATATGAAAAGAGTTTGACATTTTGACAGAGGTTTCACAATTGAAAATCTTCAGTTTCTTTTTATACATGCATGAGGATATATTACTGTATAATTATTGTCATCCTCTTAATATAATTGAAAGGTTGAGATTAGCTGCTTTAGATGGTCTTGTGTGTACTCATTATAGTTTATGAATGTGTTTTATTTTATTCATTCATTTTAAATTTGCTATGATGTAATTGGTTTCCTTTGCTTGCTCGGATGCTTTTTAGCGGAACACTTTTCATGATACATTTTCATTTTTCCATTTTGTTCCTCCTATTATTGTTGGATTCCTGGATGGTTTTGCTCTTTTGATTGAAAACTCTATGAATGTGTTCAACACACAAATAACAAACCCTGAAAATGGTAGGGCTGTTTCTTTTAGCCAAAATATTTATGTAAAACAGCGGTACATGGAAGTGCCTTGGCTGCGCCTTGGATTTAATTCATGCCAAAATGAAAGGACAATCATTTGTTTGGCAAGAGTGTAGGCTGAACTGAAAGTGGTGTTTCTCTGAAACTGACTAGGAGCTACGGGAGAAAAACTGGAGCGCTATGGAGGCGCTGTCAGCCACCGAGACCATACTTCAGGGAAAACTCACCAAGAGCGCCAAGGTTCGCACCACAACTCCCAAACTACTTCACTCTAGAGTCAAATCAAAGCATCTCCAATAAGCCTCTGCCATTTATTGACCAGTGAAGTTCTCATTCCTCCTTAACTTCCTCATGAACGGCTGCATACTCATTTCATTACGCTCAACTGCTCGGCTGCATGCTACTGATGCGCTGTGTCAAATCCTGACAATAGTCTGCAGCTTCAAACATGCAAACGAATGTGCTTTAAATTTGCCCGTATATTTTGGCCGGAGCTTGCTGTTTGCTTTATTAAAAAGAAAAAATGTCTTTGAATGTTTTTGAGTTTTAAACAAGACCAGTGAAATGAGTGTGCGGCTATTTTTATTTTTATTTTATTCCCCTTTTGTTCTTAAATTAGCATTTAGTTTATGTCCATTGTGTCATTTGATCATTCATTAGTGATTTGCCCTTTTTTGATTTCCTTTTTCCCGGCATGCCGATCACCTCCTGATTTCCATTATTCTGCACCAATGTTTGTCTCTCCAAATATCAATCCAAATGACTGTTTTTATAATGACAAAAGAAGATCAGGAAGAACTTTTAAATGGGAAGCCAGACAAAATGACTTTCTCAAAGATGCACATTTTGTTCAGCTAGTCAGGTTACATCCATCTTGTTCATTCCCTTTCCCTGCACCTATTATGGTCTCTCCATGTCTCTCTCCTCAGTCAGTTACCCTAAATTCTGTTAATAGTTGTTCACCCCTCAGGGTGTTACAATCCCCATGAGACCTTCGTTCATCTTTGGAACACAAATTAAGATATATTAGATAAAATCTGAGAGCTCCCTCATTCTCCATAGATGGCAACGCTCCAATTCGCTTGTTCAAATTCCAGAAAATTACTGTAAACATCCTTTAAACACACCACAAGCCTTCAGTGGTTCAATTGGAGTATTATCAATCAAAAATAATATGTTTAGTGCACGTACAACAAAAACAACGACTTTAATCTGTTCATTTTTGCTCCTCAGTGTCAGTATAGGGTGCACTCATGAGTGTGTTGTGCTCTTTATGCACACAATAGTCAACATTTGAGGTGTATTAGATCCTTTCATCAGAGTTGGCCTAACTTGTGGCATTTGAGTTGATGTCTATGTCATGGCATAGAGTAACTACAGTAGTGGCTCTATAAATGTACTGAAGCTACAAATAATGTTGCTTACATCATGAGCAATTCTGCGGTTCAGCTGGCGATCTTTAGTCATATGGACGGCATGTACTGTGAGGTTTATCTGATCTTAGTCATGTCCAGCTGTACCAACCCCAGCCCTGCACCTGCTCTACAAATTCAGTGTTTTGCAGAGTTCTCTTGCTTTCTTTAAATTTTTTTGTCTGTTTTGATTAGTTAAATATGCTTTAGAAAATACAAAAGGGTTGTTATTTGGGTAACATGCATTGATTAAACACATGCATTGATTAAAAGGGTTTGATCAAAGATTATAAAACAACATTTTTACCTTGGGAATAATACACCCTGATGAATAACAAAATAGCCCTACTTGTTTTATTGATGTGCATTAAATATCTTGCGAAGAAAAAAAAAAAAACATTGGTGCATCATATTTAAAAAATAAAAATCTTATTTTTATCTTTGTGACTTTTTTGATTTGATATTTTGAAAAATGTCTCGTCAGTATTATATCTATATTTGTTTGGTTACCAGCATTTTTCATCTAAATCTAAGTCTGATTTTCTGTTTTACAGAAACCCCCCAGCAGGCACACAAGGTCATAAGGCGCTAATATTGGGTTAGATTTAGGTTGTGACGTCAGGTGACCAAAATTCAATGCCTAGCCAGTGTTTAAGGTAGGGGTCTCAAACTGCTGGCCCAAGGGCCATTTGCGGCCTGCCCTCCTCCTCCTCCCGGCCAGCAACTGACGTCAAAAAGTATAACGAGATTCGGCCCACCAAAACGTATATTTTCGAACCACTATCATTGTTGTGCAGTCGCGTCTAACCACCTGTACTTATTATATTATTACCGTACTAATTTTCTCTCAGTGTAGGGTCGAGATTACTTGTGTTTTAATTCTGTGGCTGATTTAAACATTAAAATATATAGGATGTCAGTAAGTGCTCTATTTTACTAAAGCTCTATATTTGTAAATATATAAGGGTCATTTGATTATTATCAGTTTTATACCATTTGTATTTTGTTGTAAAAACACTTCCTCATGGCTTACACCAGGGGTCTCAAACTCAATTTACCTGGGGGCCGCAGGAGGCAAAGTCTGGGTGAGGTTGGGCCGCATAAGGGATTTCACAAAAAAAAGTCCTCAAATGTCATTATTAACAGTTTTAATTATTTCTTCTGAACATGAAGTGTCCTGAACATTAATAGAACATTGAGTGAAGATTATGAACAGTTCTTCTGAACATGGCATCTTTTGCCTACTTCTTGCTGCCAGAGACTTGACAGCGCTTCTTCTCACAAATCTGAACCACATTTGGCTTTAGAGCGGAAGCAGTTGACACCCTCAGTATGGCTTGAAGATGATCATCATTAGGTCTAGACCTGTACTTTGACTTATTGAAGTCCTAGGGAAAAAAGTGGGGGAACTCACTCAAAATTTCCATTTCCTCACCTAAAAAAAAGGCAAAAATACTTACGTTTTCTCTAAGATGCAGGGCAGGCACGCATAGGGCTCAACCTGTGCAGAGCACATGCCCTTTTTAGTCTTGCATAGAAAGTGCCCTTCCAAAATGATCAAAAGTGCCCCCGCGACGCGACACACCCTCGGTCCCGCCCTTCAGTAGGCGCGCGATAACACCGCTCTTGAGTACGCGCGCGACAACACAGCTGATCAGAACGCGCGCGACTGCGCATTGAGTGACAAGCGCGCTATGTACGGATAGAATCAGCTGAGCAGGGAGCGCTCTCTCTCCCCGCTCCGCTGATTCTGTCAGAGTACAGCGTCGGCGCGGGCCACTAAATATTGCACTGAGGGCCACAAATGGCCCGCGGGCCGCGAGTTTGAGACCCCTGGCTTACACGTTATGCTGGTGGTGTAAATATGAAAATTTTGCTACAATTCGATTGAAATGGTTTTATTTAATAGATTTTCTTCATATGGTTATTAAGATTTGCATAAAAACTTTGTACATTAGTAAAATTGTACTACTGGTTGAATTTAGCTTGTTAAAGTAAATGTGAAAATGCATATACTTTTGCCCTCTTTGTTGTAGTTTTACAAAAAAAAAAAAAAGAAAGATATTGAGAACAATTGGCAGTAAAGTCACTTAAGTTACCCAAACTGCTTTCTGCTTTTCTTTACAATTTTGAACAGAATAATAATTATTATGCCTATTATTTGTAGTATTTTAATAGCAATATAAACTACCCCTTCAATATGTATGACAAGAAACATCAAGCTAGAGTTTTGACTGCATATACTCTGTGGAAGAATGACAGATTGGGTGTATAACGTTTGGCCATACACACAACAACCATAGATATACTTCAGCAGCTGATGTGTAGCACGATAAACGTGCTGATTTGCATTATCACTGACAGGTGATGGGTAATGCTTGAATTATAAACGTCATGTCTGTCATCCTAAGATGGATTAATTGTCAGGTTTCTGCTTTTTTTTGTATTTAAATTTTAAAACGGCCCTCCTATGAAATGTCCCCCTGCCAGTTTGAGTCTGAGACCCCTGGTTTAAGGACGCTATTTATATGTCCAATGACAACGTCAAATTACGTTGGTATTTGATTGATTTTTAGGTTGTATTGGAAAGATAATGTCCACACAACGTCAAGCCATAACATCATAGATGTTTATATAAGGTTGGAAATTGGACATTAACATCAGCCTTACATTGGCTTCTTACGTCAACTGGATTTTCATTTCCAAACAATATGCAACATACCCACGACGTTGGAGTAAAGCGTCAATCTGACGTCATGTTGACCTCCTGTGCCTGCTCTGAAAGAACATAAAGTTGAATATGTTATGACAAAATTTACAAAACTTGTTGGATACCATGTGTTCCTGATATCCGGTTTCACTTTAAGATAAAAAAAAGGCTAAAAAATACTAGACTTTATTTTATTTTTGCTAAATATTAACTGTTTTTCAAACAATCTTATGTTTTTTTAATTCACAAAAACCAGTGTATTAAAAGGCGATATTGTAAAGTGCAATTATCAAATCACAAAATTTGTTATTATATGAACATACAATCTGTAATTTTAGTTTTATAAAAAAGTTTTGAACTAAACTGATTTAGTAAAAGTTGTTATAACAAAGCCAAAAAATTGCTAAAACAAAAAACAGTTACAAATCAGAATTAAATACAGATTTTTTTAATTATTTGGTTTAAAATGCTAATTATGATTAAACATATGATTAAACATATACCTGCCCGTTTGTTCTGCCTTTTTTAATGGTAGAATGCATACAATTTTCTCCAATCATTTGCAAATGTGGTAAAATGCCCTGGAATTATATCACACCCTTTAAGTTCATATTTCAGCATGTAATCTAAAAAAACATGTGAACTTAACAGCTAATACTGATTTCTGTTTTGTTTGGCTCAAACTGTTTGCGCCTGAAATGAGTTTTCTTTTTTCCTTTTTTTCTTTCTTTCTTTCTCTTATGTATCGTGTTCTACAGTGGTCCAGTTCATTGTCAGCCCTAATAAATTTCTTGATTGCTGCCTTGTGATGCTTAATTATAGATTTAGTTTTCCTGTTTGTTGGTGTTGTTGAGGATAGAGGTTGAAAAAGTTGTGGTAAAGTAGAACCAAATGTTTACTTTTGATGACAGAAATATTTTCTATTTGAGTTTTTTTTTTATTTATATAAGTTTTTAATAGCATTAGTAGTATTTTTATGTTTGTTACAGCCATTTCAGGGTGTGTGTCGTGTTTAAGAATACTTTAGGGTTAATGGCTTGTAGCACAGTTGTTCATGTGTTGTTTTTTTGTTGTAGTATTTATTTCAATCTCACTTTTTGGTAGGGAAGCACCACTGGCTTTACTGATCTTGGCACAGTTGTGGTGTGGATTATTCAGTGGTTTTCAAACTAATCAGAGAGTCTTTTAATCAATGTGCTTGATGAAAGTGTATGTGTTTTTCCACAGGAGCATCAGACTGTGCTGGAGTCAGTGGAGGCAGAATGCAGAGCGTTGCTGCACAGACTCCTGCCGCACATACCGCTGCCCAGTGACCAGGTGCATATCGGGAATCACATCTGTGCAGAATCGTGTTTAAAGTTAGTGTATTTGATTGTTGAGTGCATGCAGTATCAATTCATGTTTGTTTTCCGATTGATCTGATTGTCCAGAACCACCAGCAGTGGGTGCAGAAGTTCGAGGCGTCTGTGAGAGAAAGCTCGTCTGGGGAGGCGTCCTCTGGAGATGCTCAGGTACAGATTCAGGGTCAGTCTTTTAGGCCACATTTACACTGCATGGCTCAGTTGGACAAATTCTGATTTCGTTCTGCATATGTGGCACAGATTTAATGTAACCCACAGTAGGACAAATAAGCATATGGATTCTGATATTGTCAACATTGTAGCTACAAAACTGAATGTAATTTCATCCATGCACACAGATTGAGTAGAACATTATTTTCCATTCTTCCTCCAAACCACAAGCATGGAGAAGTTGCATTAGCCCATTTGCTACTGCAACTCTCTGCTAGCGGGGCTTCCAGCTAACTCTATCAAGCCTCTTCAGCTGCTCCAGAACGCAGCAGCACGAGTGGTCTTTAATAAATCTAAAAGAGGTTAATGACTAAATGACTAAATGTAAATGTAAATGCTATCCCACGCAAATGATTCATACCTAAATTAATTTAACCAGAGGTAATTTACTGGTACTGCTGCTTACAAATAAACAAATAACTTTAAATTATGAAAAACAAGAGCAATATTACGACATGTTACTTTTGTAATAATCTTACCAGTGATGAAGTATTTCAGTAACTTGCCAACAGTGTTGGTACACACAAGCGCCTTTTTAGTGCCTTACCTGTTGATCCCACACCCCTTTTCATCCCTTAACAGTAAACTTCTTTGCAACATTCGTTGCATATTTTACTCGTAGCCTACAGCTAACTTTAAGATGAAATGGTCTTACATGCTAATCTCAAAACCTCTGTCCAGAAAAGTAATCAAACATGATCCCAAACACAAACAATATTAGACAGACTTACACTGCCTACTTTGTCTGAACGGTTTATTCAAAGAAATCAAGGTATATAGTATAAATGTATATAATGTTGCTTTTAGATATTAAAGAAGCCCAAACAATGGGTTTGATTCACTAGCCATCATGATTGATCACAATGTTCATGTTAAAATGTATTCTAAATGTTTTTTATTCAATCTAAATGAGAGAAAATATGAAATATAAATGTAATATATAAAATATTTTAAAGATATATTTCTAAATAAATAAATATATATATATATATATATATATATATATATATATATATATATATATATATATATATATATATATATATATATATATATATATATATATATATATATATATTATTATTATTATTATTATTTATTAGGAGGTCAAACAACAACAATCTGCTCTGTCTTTTCATGATAATTGTGTTTCACCTTGTGTTTGGAGGCATAGCAGTCCTGATCACATTGAATGCATTTTTTTAAAGCTATAGTGTAAATGTAGATATCTTTTAAAGCAGGTCAACAAAACAGGATGCGGTCACACAAATAAAAATAGGCATCAAGAACTGCAGTGTAAATAAGGCCTTACAGTCAGTGCCTAATGAAACCATTCCACCACTTTGTGAATCAAGTGGATTCATCAACATTTAGATGCGCACTTTATAAAGACATCTCTCCATCCATATCCATTTTCCTACAGGCTTTAGCAGAAAAGTTGAAGGAGGCTGAGGAGGCCCAGAAGGTTCTACAGAAAGATTGCGAGACGTACAAGAAAGTGTTGGCGGAGACGGTGAGTCTGCTGTTTTATAAGCTAGACTATGTGACTATCGTTCTGACCATCTGCTTGAAGCGGAGTGATGAGTGATTGTGTGACAGAGGGTTTTGTTGATGTTTGGTTAACAGGAAGGGATCCTGCAGAGGCTACAGAGCAGTGTGGAGCATGAAGAGACACGCTGGAGGGAAAAGCTGGACCTCTCACAGGCTGAGCTCAAAGAGGTTTAGATCAACTACTACATCCTCATTTCTACACTAGAACATTTAATAGGTTTATTTTTGGCCAAAATAGACCAAATATTATTCTTTTTATTTGGAAACCAATAAGCCATATGTAGGTTGATAAATTATTAATGTGAATAAAACATGGTTTTTCATCCAATAACCTAAAAATGGCAATAAACATGATTTATTAGCCTATAGTGATATGGCTACTTATATATCTTTGTATATCCGTCCGTCCATCTATCTGTCTGTCCGTCCATTCATCATCCCTCCATCCATCCGTCTGTTTGTCTATATGTCCATCCATTTGTCTGTCTGTCTATCCCATCTATCTATTGTCTATCTGTCCATCCATTTATCGTCTGCCTGTTTGTCTATCTATCTGTCCATCCACCCTTCCGTCCATTTTCTCCATCTATCTGTCTATTTATCCATCCATTTATCTATCTATCCATCCATCCATCCGTCTGTGTCTCTGTCTATACATCTGTCTGTCCGTCTGTCTATCCATCTATGCATCCGTCTATCCATCTGTCTATCTATTCATCCATCTCTCCATCCATCCCTCTGTCTATCTGTCTCTGTCCATCCATTTATCCATGCATCCAATCATCTATCTATCTATCTATCTATCTATCTATCTATCTATCTATCTATCTATCTATCTATCTATCTATCTATCTATCTATTCGTCTGTCTGTCTATCCATGTTTTTGTCTGTCTTTTGATCAATCCCTCAGTCCATCTGTCTGTCTGTCCATCCATTCATCTATCAATTTGTCTGACTGTTTATCCGTCCATTTGTCTGTCTATCCCCTATACATCTCTTTATCCATCCATCCATCCATCCATCTTTCCATCCGTCTGTTTCTCTGACTGGCTGTCATCTATCTGTCCGTCTGTTTATCTATCTATCTATCTATCTATCTATCTATCTATCTATCTATCTATCTATCTATCTATCTATCTATCTATCTATCTATCTATCTATCTATCTATCTATCTATCTATATATCTATTTATATATCTATTCGTCTGTCTGTCTATCCATCTTTTTGTCTGTCTTTTGATCAATCCCTTCATCCATCTGTCCGTCTGTCTGTCTATCCATCTTTTTGTCTGTCTTTTCATCAATCCCTCCATCCGTCCATCAATCCATCCATCCACCTATCTATCATCCATCTATTCGTTTGTCTGTTTATCCATCCATGTCTGTCTATCCCATCTTTCTATCTGTCTCTCCATCCATCCATCCATCCATCTATCTATCTGTCTGTCTATCTGTCTATCCATCTGTTTCCATCTGTCTATCCATCTGTCTGTCTGTCTATCTATATATCTGTCCGTCTTTCCATCCATCTATTCGTCTGTCCATCCATCCATCTGTCTACCCCACCTATCGATCTGTCCATCCATCTGTTCTTCTGTCAGTCTTTGTCCATCTATCTATCCATCTTTTTTATCTATCTATCCATCTTTCTATACCTTGTTTTTTTCTTTCTCAAAGAGTAAAAAAGTACATGCATTCCTTTAAAGCCTTTTGATAGTGTTTATGTGGAAATGAAACAATAATCATTGTATATTGTGTTTAGATGACTCAGAGGGCAATTGCACTGGATCAGGAAGTGGACAGACTGACCTCAGATGCAGATGTGGAGAGTGTGAGTTTGTTTTGCAACATTCTATTTATACCTTTAGTTTAAAAAAAAAAGCAAACGAGCTGAGTCAAAGAACATACCTTTGAACACAACTTTACAATGTGTATGTCACAGCTAAGGAGAGACAAGCAGCAGCTGGAGTCTGAGCTGGAGCGAGCGGAGCGTGAGAGTGCCACCTACGTCTCGGAAGTGAGAGAGGTAAAAGCATGAACACACAGAGCCGTATTGCTTGCTCACTTCTGTTTCTCAGTCTCTTGTTTTAGTCTGTTGCTTGTCGTTTTTGAATGTCTAACATGTCTGATATCAGCTGCTCAACTAAAATCTCTTTATAGCTCTGAGGTTTGCCGTCTACTTGGCTGCGCTCAGTCCAGACTATATCAGAATGGTATGAGGGAATTTATGATGTACTTCTCATTATCTTCCAAATACACTTTATGGAGAGCTTTTATTGTCTGGACTGAGGATTCATCTGTCTTAATGGAATGTTCTGGGTTCATATAACTAACTCTTGCAATTATGCCACATTGTTGTTTTTCTTTGGTCTTTTTTATCATTATATTAATTTCAGTAGTAGTGGAATTTCTTCTGTGGTATCCAGGTTGATTCTCTATGAGCCTGTTGGCAGATATTTGTCGTTTAGATCATAAACTCACTTAAAACAAGACTTTGTCGCATGTCATTTTGGAGTGTGATGAGAATTAAACGTTATTCATCCATATCATTTCCATATTTTTATAAGCTATAAGTATTTTAGTCCAAAAGCAGAGCATTAATGTATTTTATTTATTTTCTTTAAAATATTCAATACGGCTTGATCTTGGCTTGATCTTATAAAGATTTACTTTTAAACATGCACAAAGTCAGTCAGATGAGCTCACAGTATAAACTCGATGCACTTATTTTCGGCGTTTTTAATTAAATGTCTTTCTGTGTAAAGATGGGAGATTTTCCATGGTGTATATTCTGCTTGTCTGTGCATTTTATTTATATATTACATAAAATTTAGTCATTAAGCAGACATTTTTGTCCAAAACGATTTGCAATTAAGGCATTCAGCGATTCAACAAGACGCAATACACACAAGAACTGATAATTATACAAAGGAACTTTTAGGGCTCAGAGAATTAAATGCTAAAGAGTAAGAGTGGGGAGTTTTTGTTTGTTTTTTAAGGCTCATTTATACTTCTGCTTCAAATGATCGGCGTGAACCACGGCACCTGCCTTGCGCCTTGCGCCTGCCTTGCGACATATACCACATGTCTTTGGTATAGAATACCAAAGACATGTCACTTGTATAGATTTGAATGGGGAAAAGTGTAAAAGTCAATATGGTGAATAAAGCCCCTCCCACTAGTAAGGAGCCAATCATCAATCGCTATATGGCGAATAAAGTCCACCTTTTAATACAGGAGCCAATCATAGATCACTATATACTGACGATACTCTGAGGGGCTTGGACCAGATGCGAGTTTCTGTTTGATTCAAACGTTTAGAAATGAAACTAAAGAGACAGTTGTTTAATTTTATTGCTGATTCCTTATATGTAATGTAATCGCAAGGTTGGCTAGCAGTTTTGAAGAATTTGATGTTTCCCCATTCAGACAGAATGCCCAAGCAAACTGCCAGAGAGGTGTTCTTCTCAGCGTTCATACTTCTGTGTGCTATTTATTTAGCTCTGCAATATCACTTCCGAAATGCTAGCTGGCAGTATGTTTTCATGTTTCTCTGTGTCGAGGAACATTTCACTAGAACATTGAAGAACATCAGTACAAATTGTGACATTCTTTGAACCTGTTGGAAATGACAAGAAATCCCACAGATCTTGACTAAAATCCAGACCCCATTCTCCAATAGCACCAGCTAGTTTTTGCTCCCTAAACATCTCAAACTTCATTTCAGCTCAAAGATCTGTTGACCGAGTTGCAAAGCAAACTAGACGGCTCATACACTGAGGCCGTGAGACAGAATGAGGAGTTGAATTTGGTAAGCCGTACCCCTGGATAAACTCAAAAAGCTTTCACCTTTCACCTTTGAGCTCACACGGGTGGGGGAACTCGCTTTAACAGGCTGGAATGTTTATGGCAAGGAACTATCTGTTATTTCTGAATGACAAACATTTGTTTAGCTGTAAGTGAGAATTCTTAAAGGGATAGCGCATGTGAAAAATGAACATTTACTCAGCCTCAAGTTGTTCAAAATCTGATGAAAGAAAAAGCAGATAATTGGTTTAATGTTGCTAGTTAAATTGTCCCATCGCTATTGACTTGTGCTATGTTTACATGACAACAACTAGATAAAAACTGAAAGGTTTTTCAAAACGATCTTCATTTACATACTCCCACAAAAACGGACTAAATTACTGTAAATACTGTATTATCCTTTGCCAGTATTTAGCACCGTCACCTTGATTGTAAACAGTACCTGTAGGGAAGTGATCACTTGGCCGGTAATGATACAGAATTGGTGTTGTTTGATTATGTTCTCACAGAAATTGTTGCGACAAGCGATATTATTGTCATTTTGAGATCATTTGATTATATAATGATTATATAACAGCATAATAATGCAGTTAGCCATGAACACTTAAAAAAAATCTAGCATTCTTAAGGTTATTTAGATTCTGTAATTTAATTTCAAATAGGTAAACGTCCTGTTATATATACTGTTAAATGTCCTACTAGGTAAATGTCCAGTTATAAACTTTGACACCTGTGATGTAGAATGTAAATGTCACTAAAATGGCTTTAACGTTATTTGTGAATTTGTAAATATATATTCAGGTCATCTCGAAATATTGCACAATAAGTCAATAGATAGATTATTGTGACAGTCCTAGTGATGACATTCGTTTTTATTTAGAATTTGTTGGTCGTAATATGAAGTAAATTCACACCTTTATGGTAAAATGTTAGCAACAACAAGCATATTATGTATACACATGACATCACCATTTTTAAAGGACGTTTACATGGAAACAACAACAGCATTTTCAAAAACTGTTTTCGAATCAACACAAAGTTTCCAATTTTTGGGTGAAAAAATTGTGTAAACAGCCCTTTACATAGAAAAATATATATATAATTGAAATGTATACTACTACTGTCCACTGAGTAGCTACAAGTAGACTTCAAAATATCATCACGTGTGTTCAGAGGTAGAAATAAACTCACTTGAGGTTGAGCATCTGGTCTTTTCATTTTTTGGGTAAACTATGCCTTTAAATCACAGGTGTCAAAGCCAGTTCCTGGCGGGCCACAGCTCTGCATAGTTTAGTCCCAGCCCTTTTTAAACACACCTGATCAAATTAATTAAGTCCTATAGGCTTGGAACCTACAGGTAAGTGTGTTGAAGCAGGGTTGGAGCTAAACTGTGCAGAGCTGCACATCTCCAGGAACTGGCCTTGACACCTGTGCTATAAAAGAACCAGTTAGAACCCAATGGACCCTTTTCACATTTCCTAGTTTCTCAGTAGCAGAAATCATCATAGTTGGGGAAAAAATATTTTTTACAATCCTATTTCATAAAATAACAAAAGGAAAACTCCACGATGGTGTTATCAAGGCTTTCAGAAAAAGGAAAACAGAATGATGATGACAGCCAGAATAGAGAAAAACGTCAAATGTACTCTCAGCACCATAGCATTGCATTAGAAACGCCTCACATAAGCGCTAATTAATTTTTTTTAATTTGATGCAAAGATGATATAATACATTCATATGTACATATAAATGTTCATACATTTTATTAAAATTCTAAATATTTAAGGATTTAAGATGCCAATAACCGTTACAACACAAAACGCGTCATAATAGTCTTGTGAAAAGGGTCCATAAAGACACTTTGTGGTTTCAGTAATAAATAAATAGCATCATAAATAGCTGTTAAATTGATGGAAAAAGTCAGTCATATGACATTTCAGAGATGACAGATATACCTTGCCAGGATGGTGTCCTCTAATACCTTACTCTGTTTACTCTGCTGTCACAGTTTGACTTGCTGTTACTTTTGCTTAAACCTTAAAAGCACATGCATTTCTAACTGCACAGCTGCTGTTTGTTACATACATAAATTGCTGTTCAAAGGTTTGCAGTCAGTAAGATTTTATTACATGCTGTTACATTGATTAAATTAACTGATTTGTAAATAAGATAAAATATAATAACAATTTTTTAACAGCAAATCGATATAGTAGAATATAGTAGGATCATGTGAATTTTTTTCATTACTTCAGTCTACAGATTTGGACCAGAATAGAAAAGTACATTAAACATTACAATTAAATTAAACTTTTTTATTTGTTAATTTAGTATTTAGCAGCTTTATTGATCATAATCTTTTGAACAGCAGTGTTATTAATGGGTTTTTATTCTTACGTAAAATCTTTGTTGTTATAGTGTGTTATAGTGTCAAATCTTCAGTCTTTGTGTTTTGACATTTGCACATAACCTGCTTTTTAAAAATCCACAATTTAATGTCTACTTTTGTCATTTTACTTTTGAATTAACTTTTGTTTTTTAGTGCAACACAATCTCACAACAATTTGTAACTTTTTGATTTAGTGGCTAATTCGTATGAATTCTTACAATCTAATTTGTACAATTTAGTATGATTTGCTCATCCCCCAATGACGGTTGGGTGGAGTGAGGTGTCATGCCTCCTTTTTAAAATCGTACAATTTCGTACAACTGAACACATACTAATTCAAACGAATTAGCCACTAAACTGGCAAAATGTAAAATACTTAGTTTTCTTGTGAGATCAGGCTGTTTAGAGAGATGTAACCAAATCGCCTGAAGTTTTGTCTTACTGACTATTTAATATATTGACTATTTTGTTTAGTTTTTTATTATTAAACATTGACTATATTAATTAGTTTGTCATCATCGCATATTTAATAATGTGTCATTTTCTGTCTTCTGTGGAAGGAAGATGTTTTGCACAGTGTCTGAGCTGCTCTTTTCTGCTCGGTGACGGTGAATTCAACCTTGAGGCTGTGCAGCTCTGATAAACAAAGAAATATATTCATAAACTCTCACCTAATAGGCAAATTACTATGTTTGTAAACATTTAGGATGCACGCGCCGCGAAGTTGCAGAAAAAACGGGAGCGCTAGCATTTACAGCGCGGGAATGACATCCTAGCGGTACAGAGTTTGTTGTTGTCTTAGAAATAAGTTATATTGATTTACATATTATATATGTCAGTGGTTCTCAAACTTTTTTTTACCAAGTACCACCTCAGAAAAAAGTTGCCTCTCCAAGTACCACTATAACAACTAGCATTGAAATACAGTAACGTAGTTGGGCTAATTAAGCAGCTACAGCTCTGCACAGCTCAAAAATTAGACAAGTTAATTCCTATTATTAAGAATATGTATGACTGTCGGCCACTTTGAACATTATAAATAAGTTTAACATTAGCTGTGCTTGCAGGTAAAAAAAAAAAAAAAAAATATATATATATATATATATATATATATATATATATATATATATATATATGTTTAAATTAGAATGTGCTTTTAAAAGTTTATTAAAAAGGGCACTGTTATCAAAAACTAATAAGAAAATGTGTACAAGTTGTAGTATTAATGTTTAGTAGCCAGTAGGCCTATGTATGTCAGAAAAGTGAGTGATTAAATCAACACAGTGCTTAACCAATTCTTACGTGTGGCAATTCCGGGATTTGGTGCGAATGAGATCACATCTTAAGTGAACTGTAAAGTTCGCTATATACCGACCGTTGTTTTCAAGCAGACTTTGGTACCGGGAACAGACTGGTGTGATCGTGGCTTCAGGGAATAGTCAACACTGATCACATCAGTGTTATCATACACGTCAAAAGTTTAAAAGTGTGTTCATTTTAGTCTTTTATTATTCAGCAATTCCTCCGTGTATCACTAAAAGGAAGCCCAAGTTGCGCTAGTGGTAAGTGTACCACAGTTTGAGAACCACTGATATTTATTATTTACATAATGCTTTCAGCGTATTATAACAGCTCTTTACCCAGTGAAGAGCTCAGTGATCCAGTGAAATTAATGTTAAAGTGAGCGGCGATCATCTGACAGGTCCATTTGTGATAGTACCCTCCTAATGAATATTGGACAAGACGAAATGGCCAAACATCCAGCCCCAAATGTACAATCTCATTGAAGCTCTAAGTGTTTTTACAAGAGAGAAGTTAAAGACCTACAAGTTTTTGGATTCAAAACTATGTAGTGCTAAAAATCGAGGTTCTGCCTAGTCAAAGACAAGGGAAAAAAAGACAGAGCTATACAAGGTCTGGGTAATCATCAACAAGCAAAACTGCATTTTGACAGCGAACTGCACCTCTATGGCAGAGTATGTGAACTTAAACATAGAGGGAAAGTTGGTTTTATATTCCCACATTCAGACTTTCTCCTTAATAATATAATTTCATAAAAGTTTTTTTTTTTCATAAAAAGCGAAATCATATTAGCAGCCAATGACTATCAAAGTGCAACATTGTTCACAGTCAAATAAACAGTGTTAATGTTGATTTCAAGTCACACTTGCAGGTTATTTCAGACCAAATATTCAAAGTGCCGTGGTAAACAATATAGGGAGTGTCACAAGTTGATTGAATGTGTGAATATAAAACCAAGTTTACCCTAATAACTTTAGGATTTTCACGTTTTATTCTAAGCATTCAGTGTCGGCAGTTTAATTAACCATAAGTAACTGTTTTTGCTGAAATCATTGGTGCAAACAAAAAATAGTATCAGCATAGCGTGAACTTAATATGAAATGAGAACTGCGGAGTCGAGCATTTTTAATTAGGTCGTCACTTCATTCAGCTCCCTTTTAGCCAAAGACGTCTGCGGTTGGCATTAAAACCAGTGTGGTGTATGGTAAAAGTTAAGTTTTCTATTTTTGGACTTTTGAATTTGGCATCCTACTGCACAACACGACATGTTTGCTATTGCAACCAGTCTCTTTTTTGCAATTTAGGTTAAGAAATAAAAGCAGTTCGTTTAGCAGAAGCTCACCTCACACCAAACACTTGTAGAAGTTTTATATTTCAGTTTAATATTTTTTTATGCACGTAATCAAAATAGCGATGTGGAATATTGTCTTTAAACATTAAATGACAAAAGAATGAATGAAACAGTAAGTCTGATTGAATGGAAATGAACAGCACTTTTTAGTTTAATACAAACATGCATGCGTGAGAGTTTTGATGCAGTGGAATATTTATTCTTCAAGATCTAACTGTCAGTTGCAGTCAGCTTGAAATAAATAACACTAAACGCCAAATCCGGCTTCAAATCTAAGCATATTTTGGATCAAAACTGGCTTCAAAATCTCATTGAATCATGACCCCAAGAAGCAGGTTGAGTGAAGTGTTGTCAAACTGAATTGTGGGTCCTTCGAGTTGTGATTGGCTGTTAGAAAGTCGATAGAAGCTTCAGACGCCCTCTATCAACCTTTAACGCCAATTCACTGCGCGCTCAAATTTTAATATATATAAAAGAACAGCTTGGGACATTCTGCTCTTTATCTTCCACAAGTCAATCATGCAGGTTTTGAAAAGGTCAATGATTTTCACTTTTAGGTGAACTGTTTCTTTAAGAGCTGCATTATTGACTTCCCAATGAAGGGATTTTTTACTTTTTTTACTTTTTCTGTTGTAATTCAGCTAAAGACTCAGCTGACAGAGACGTTGTGTAAGCTGGAGACGGAGGAGAGCGAGCGACAGAAAGTGGCTGGAGATCTTTATAAGGTAAACCTTTAGATTCAGGAGGATCCTTCTGTTGGTCTTCAAGAGGTAAAGAAGCAAGCTTGTTTATTATTAAGTAAGTCCCTCATTGTATGTTGTGTGTCTTGGTCAGGCCCAGCAGTCCCTGGAATTGATTCAGGAAGAAATTGTAAAACAAGCCGGCCAAGCAGACCTGATAGAGACCAGCGGACTCACACAGATGGTGAGAACCCTTTTAGGTTTTATATTTTAAAAAATATATATAATTACAAAACAGTGTACTCTTCTGTAATGTTGAGACTTTGTAGATTGTTAAATGTTAATGGATTAGTATTGCTTTATGAGGACTAAGATAACCCCTATATCTTGTATCCGTTGATCTTGTGCGATCTTTTTGACATGTTTTCAGGAGGAGATTGACCGTAAGGAGAAGATGACTGCAGGGTTGAATCAGACAGTACAGGAACTTCAGGAACTACTTCAGTCTGTTAATAGACAGCTTACCAAGGGACATGAAAGGGTAGGATTTTATTATGTGTTTGTTTTAAATGTTGTTTTTTTTTTTGTAAATAACGGGATGGGTTTGAACAATTCAAGCATATAGTCCTCATAATCTAAAATTCGCTCAATTCAGCCAAGATTGTTAGAGACTTTGTTTTCAGTATTTTAAGCTGAAACCATGAACCTGAGTGATTTGGTAGGCCCTGTCCACACAAACACGGGTATTTTCAAAACTACACTTTTTGAAAATAAGGTGACTGAAATCAAAACTTTCTGAAAACTCTGGCCAGGGTGAAGATTTTCAGAAACTGGGTACAGTGTGAACACTACAACTGAGACCCTGTTTACACTAGTGCCTTTTAGAATGAAAACGATTCGCGTCCACACTAGCGTTTCACCCAAAGTTTCTGAACTGCTCTCCGTCTACACCAAAATTCTAAAAATGCACATCACGTGACCACACACACTCTCTGGCATGCGCTGCAGCCCATCTAACCAGATCAGAGTGTTCATCAAGGATCTCCCGCTGGATCGAATCTCACTATATTTGTAAAACGTGATATTTAATTCATCTTATTGTCTATGCCTAACAACATATTCCCTGACTTTGGTCTTTTGAATCTATTACTTGTTCTCGGGTAACGTGTTTTGGCTGAGCACAAAGATAAATTAATAATAATTAATGTAAACACATACATTCTGTATATTGAGTAATTGCTTGCCTTTATTTCCTATAATGTATAAACTTATTGTACGTATACTTTTATAATGGCCATTATCAATTATTAAAACTGATATTCAGCAAAAGAGACGAGGTATATTTCATAATTTCAATGAAAATGAATGGAGGCTGTAATGTTAGGCTCCGTTTTGTTATAAATACACATACAGTGAAGATGACGTTCATATATGCAGCACAACGCCTCAACAAGTTGCTAATATCAAAATGAAAATAGCAGTTCCTTATGTTTTTATTTTATTGTTAAGAAAGTGAAACAATTTAGCCAGTGTGATGTGAGTAAGGTTATACAGTACATCGTTCCCTTTAAAGATTTACCCGATATTACCCGGGAGTCTCTTTTCTGTATCAAACTTGCTAAGTCTGAACTTACAAGAAGAGGATGCAGAACTTTGACTGTGTAGGCTACTTGATATTGAGGAAAAGCCCCAATCAGAGAGGCAAATGTCGGCAGCCCCACCTCTGTTTTCAGATGTCTCCGTTTTCCCCCATTCACACTGAGACGGAGCAGCCGCATTTTAGAATCAAACGGCCTCTTCAGTGTTTCCAAAACGCTCTGTTTTCGGCGCTCAAAAATTCCGGCGTAGTGTGGACGGATGGCGTAACCGTAGCAAAACTTATGCGTTTTAGTTTGAAAACGGGGCCTGAAGTTGATGGCTCATGACATCAGCATTTTTAATGTTTTTTTTTATTATTTCTGATTGGCCAACATTGACTCACCAAACGTGGAAGAAATGAAAGAGGCTAATTATGCACGTTCGCGACAAACACAGCACAAACTTTTGCACCATGGGGTCCACCTCTGTTTGCATTGACTTGTATGCAATTTACTTGTAAAAATACTTAATTCTCCATTTGGTGTGAAACCTGCATAAGAGCGTTATTCATGCTACCTGTTGGTTCTGCATGCCCTTAAAATGAATCACTCCTGATTCACACTGGGCATTAGCTTCAACGCTTCCCATTCACTTTGAAAGGGTGCTGTCAAGCTTTGCCGAACTTAATAGTGGATCCAATGGCGGTGTTCTCAGCAGCGTTGCTCCCTGAGGATTTTGAAATTGCTCAACTTTTCCAGCACCAACGGAAGCATCAGCCAATCAGATTGCTTTATGCAAATACCCCAACTCGGACAGTAGCCTATTGCGGCCTAATTTCATAGGCTGATGCCGCTATGATAATCGCATCAGCACCAAGATTCAGACACGCCCTCCGTCAAAGTTTTGACGCTGAAGCCCTGTGTAAATAATTTCTTTCCTTACATGTGTATATAGTGCTTTTCTGAACACTCAAATTGCTTTACACATTTTTAGGGGAATCTCCTCATCCACCTGGATGACACGACGGTAGCCATATTGCGCCAAACCACACACACCACACACCAGCTGATTAGTGGAGAGTAATGAAGTCAGTTATGATATGGGTCCATGAGAGACAGAGGCCAGTGGGCAAATTTGGCTAGGATGCCGGGGTTAAAACCCTTCACATTTTTGAAGGACATCCTGGAATTTTTAACAACCACATAGAGTCATGACCTCAGTCTAATGTCTCATCCAAAAGACGGCTCAGGTTGAGCGCCCCTGCTGGTCTCACTAACACCACTCCCAGCAGCAACCTAGCTTTCCCATGTGGTCTCCCATCCAGGTACTGACTGGGCGCAGCCCTGCTTAGCTTCAGCGTGCGACCATGTGAGAGGTACAGAGTTGTCAATAAAGGTGAATCTGACATCACATTGCATTTTTGCATTTTCATGTGGACTTTAAATGAAGGCAGGGAAAACTCTTGTTTATTAAAAATCCTAGTGTACGTGTGGACATGGCCTTATACTGAGTTATTGGCTACTGGTACATTGAGTCAAAAAAGACATATAGGCAAAACAAACCGAATACCTGAGCTTGTGTGAATTGAAACTATCACTCAGAACTGAACATTACTTATAATATTATGTTTAATCCACAGCCTCAGCTTAAGTTTTGCAAACAGTTCAACAAATTGGTTATTTGTTGCACAAACCATTTTCTTAAAATCTTAATATAATGCCAAGAGAGACGTTTACTGATTTTGATTTGCCTGTGTGTCTTTTATTCTTTTGTTTTTATTTAGACTCTCATAATCTCAGTAGCTGTTGACTTTTATTGTATTGTATTTTATGAATTAGAGAGGAGCAGGTTTATTTCTATAATGAAAAAAATTTGTCACCTACTTCTTGTAAGCTTGAGACAATTAAATTGATGACAAATTGTTACATTTTTGAGGGTAATGATGCCTTTAAATTACACATCTTTTATATTAAAACTAGGGATGCACTGAAATTAAATTTCTGGGCCAAAACCAAAAATTTTAGATTCAGTTGTTTAAAACCCAAAACTAAAAATGCATTGTTATAATTGTTTATTGTTTTAATATTTAATAAAATGTATTTTTTAATTGAATAACTGAAAATAGCTGAAAATAAAATAAATGAATTTTTAAATTCAAAGAATTGAAAATGTTACTTAAATTATACAGATTTTATACTGAATCTGGAGGCATTATTCAACGTTCCCATGACAGCACCGTAGCACAACTGTATGCAGCAGGAACAAATATACTACATAGAAATGCCTGTCAGCGTATTAATTGAGCAGACTTTGTTTTGACCATTAGTTATATGTGTATATGAGCAGAATATCAAGCTATTTTGAACTTCATGTGTAAGCTACTTGACGCGCTCTTGCTTGTCTGCCTTAATCAGTGTAGTAACAAACCGAAAACTAAAAATAAAATTTTTGACAGCCAACAATTCTGTTCCTCCCTATTATAAATTGTTTTAAACTCTTTTCTAGTTTGTGCCTCACAAATTATTTCACTAAGTGAAGTTCCACAAACTAATTTTGAGAGGAGCACGTGAATTTTGAGAGGAGCACGTGAGGATCGACTACAGCTGGTCTTATCACTAATCATTAGCTAGCCTATCGGATCATTCCAAAATTACAATAAATATCCTTCCTAAACTTCATTCCCTATCTTCGTTTTGGAAAAGCCCCCCTCTATCCTTCCCTTTTCTCCTTCTCAATTCTAAGATTAGATGACATGGCTGCCTCTCAGCGGGAGGGCCAATGGTTTAAGTTCTAATTGAGCCAGTCGGCACACTCTGCGTGAAGTTTGCATGTTCTCCCCGTGTTTATGTGGGTTTTTCCCGGGTACACTGGTTTCCTCCCACAGTCAAAAAACGTGACATAAGCGAATTGTAATAATAATCCCACGCATACATCAGTGGTCACCAAACTTGTTCCTGGAGGGCCGGTGTCCTGCAGATTTTAGCTCTAACCCTAATCAAACACACCTGAAGAAGCTAATCAAGGTCTTACTAGATATACTTGAAGCATTCAGGCTGGTGTGTTGAGGCAAGTTGGAACTAAACCCTGCAGTAACACCGGCCCACCAGGACCGAGATTGGTGACCCCTGGCATACATACTATATCGATCCTCAGAGAAATACTCTATTAACCAAAGTGTAGTTGAAACAAACTGGGGGGCTCTCAAGAAATAGCTGCTCTCATATTCCTCCAAATGCTCATTGACCAGGCGGGAACCTTGGGCTCATCTATCTCCAAGCTCAGTGTTCTCTCCTGGGAAAGCATGCCAAACCTGCTAACATCGTCAAGCATTATCTAAGTGTGAAATCTTGAATAAAGCATATAAAAATAAATACATAACTATTATTACACATTTATAAATCAATTACTAATCAGCTGTTTTACTCTTTCTGTTTCAGGATGATGGGGATAAATTATACTCCAACTATAAACTGTAATGAAAAACACGACAGTGCGCTCTGATAAAGCCACAAGACTTCATACCAGAAAAAACATCAGATTTCAGCCCTGTTTACTACACCTGCTCAACCAGCTGGTCTCCAGTTAAACCAGTCCAGACACACTCCAAACCTGCTGTCCAACCCTGACTATAAAAGCGTGAACTCAGTGAATCCGGATCCTTCCTCGTGGCATTCCTCCTTTTCAGTAGACAAAGGCATCCGCTAGACGACACGGTTAGACTCGCTCCTGTTTCGTTCCACGCTTTTTCAGTCCCGATACTTTGAATACTACTGCTTTTTGTTCTGTTAGCTCTCTTTGACCAGAGAGGTTTTTATCCTTTCGTATAAAGAACATTGAGGATATTTGTGTTGTTTTAAATGATAATAATATAACTGTTAGGATCTACTGACGCTCACTTATGCGTTTTCAGCTCTTGCTTTGAAACCCTAAACTCAGAGGCACATGCCAGAGATCCGTTTAAACCAATAAATGCTTTTCCTGACTAATGATGCCGAATTTAGTGACTGTTTTCCTGGGGGATGTTTGTGATATGCGGGTTGAGTCTACGCTAAATGCCATAGCAAGCAATTGTTTCAAATGCTGCTCAGACAAAGGCATCCTCCTCGTCTGTTTTCATCACAATCTATATTCATGCTAATTTCATTAACACTGTTATTATTTTTTTTTTTTGTAAAACAGGAGACCGGTAATAAAAGGGATGCTTGATTAAAAGCACAGCATGGTTCTTTATTCTATTTTAATAACTTTTTTCCAGCACAGGCTTACTTTATATGTGTGATTCAGCCTGCATTTTTGTAAAATACATTGCACCAGATTTGTTGCACATTTCAGATGTCAAATCCACTAGAGGGCGCTGTCTACATTATAACTAGGGCTGCAACAATGAATCAATAAAAATCGATTACTAAAAGGGTTGGCAACGAATTTCATAATCGTTTCGTTGTCGCGCGACACAGGGACGTTTGATTATTAATAAAACACTTTAGTTGAGCAAGAAGTGAACATGGTCTCTTTCGTGCACTGATACAGAGTTTAGCACCTCATAGACAGGGATGAGGAGGAAGGGAGTTCAACAACAGGGTCCTACTTTTGTTCCGTTTTGAAGTGCTTATTTTTTACTTGTTATCCAGCTTAACAAGCATGACAAGTTATCGTTAGCACGTTTACCTTTAGAGCTTTGGAGCGGTGTCTGGTGCTGAGGCAGAAAGAGCTCGTGCTGAGCAGAGCACTCAGTAAGGGACCATCGAAAAAAGTGCTTCTGTGCTTTCCCGCTGAGAAAGACGTGTCATTTTATCACAATTATGCAGCGTTTTGACCGCCTAATGCTTAATTTATGTTTTAAACATGTAAATACACACAAGTACTAGTAAAAGAAAACATTTCTAAAAGTTTGTAAAACAAACAAGAGTCTAATAATCTATTCAAATATAATTGTGTTTTATTTGTTTCAGATACACATTACACATAGTGAAAGTAACTAAAGTTGAATCTACTCCAAGTTCACAAGCCACTTACTTGCATGTATTTGTGGAGTAACTGGTGAATTAGGTGCTCAATCCTGCGTGTTCTGCTTTTTATGAATGAGGGATGCGGGCAGCTGCAAGTAAACGTAGCAACGACCATCTCATGTTATAGATCACGATTACTTACATGTTTGTGTGAACTGGTAAAAATTCTGTTTGAGATTATGGGCACTACCATACACCCGGCGCAATGTGGCGCAAGACGTGACCCAAGAGTTGTTTTGAGGTGTAGCACCACGCTGTTTATATAGCAAATGCATTTGCGCTCATATGTGCGCCCATCACTGATCTGGTCTAAAAAAGCAGGTGTTCTGAATTAAAATATTAAGGATATATATAGGATATAAATTTAAAGGATTAAAATATTACAAAACATTATTTTCTAGCCTACATGAATTTAAAAACCACTGCCTTACCTTCTTCATCTCGGGAGGCTTTTTCAGTTTATTCAGAACAATTTGCTTTTGTATGATGTTATTATTATTAGCAGTATTATTTATTATATCCATATTTATATTTTACTTTATAAAAAAACAAGCTTAGATTTGCCCACCTGTCAGGTTTCAGACCATTTGGGGCACAGCATGTGTATTTGGATATAACTGTTTTTGAACACACTTCGTTATTATTGTTCATTTTTTCATTTGCTGGAAAATAGAACTGAATTTAGAAATAGTTTTGGAACAAATCTTTGCGCTTAACAAACGAAATTAATTATTTACAGGCTAATTGATGTCTGTGCGTACAAGGTTTCCCTATCCAAGAGAGTGAAAGTAGATTGTGAGATGCCTTATCTCTCATTCTGGCGCTGCAGATGCTCTGTTTAACTGTTTTCTTGCTAGTGAAACACTCAGTTTTTCCACTTACAAAGTCATCATGTAAATAGCAAATGCACTTATGGCGAGACGCAACTGGCTCTTAAAGGGAATGGGAGATGAGACTGATTGGTTTATTCTCAAAACACACCTATAAAGAATACACACCTCATTCACACCTCATTCAGAAAATAAGTTCAACCCTTTTAGACCGATTGATTGAAAACAGGACAAAACTACTTTGTTTTTATTTCATTATTTTTATTATTATAGGTAGTAGTACAACAGCTCAGGGATGAGCTTTTTTGATGGAACAGTTGTAAATGAATGTTTTTCTTTTTTTTTATCAAATTCATCAAATAATCGAAAACATAATCAACAGATTAATCAATTATTAAAATAACCGTTAGTTGCAGCCGTAATTATAACAAATGTAAGATACATTACTTGGAGTACATTTCATATACATGTCCACCTGAAAGCGATCACCCAGCAAAACACTGACAAAAACGCTTCTGTGTTTACAAAAGGAAACCTAAGAAAAAAGCGCACTGTGGCCACATGGTTTTACCTTTCTTTTATTGGTATTGTGGACCTGTGCTTTACAAGACTCAACCTTGAGAACTTTTCAACACCGTACAAGGTGTGTTACTGTCCAAACTGTAAAAGTTGTGCATATGGCGGTAGACAGTGAGAAAAATGTATTCGATTTCAAATCCGTCCTAAGACATACTTTATATGCTGTTGTGCAAAGAACTGCACAAAAAACAATTATTTCATTGTTGATATGCCCCAGTAAGTATCATCAAGCGTGAAATAGAACAAAAGTTGTTGTAGTTGTACTTCTCTGTGGTGTACATCTTGCCTACAAACTGCAGTCAAACATGTTTAAACCACAAACCATAACATATTTACCATTAGCATTTTTGTACCCTTAGCCCTTGAAACAGAGTGTGAAGGGTTCCAAAATGTACCCCAAAGAATTGGGACAGCATTACAACACCTGCACAAGTCATTATGTCTCTCGATCTCTTCATATGAAATAGACGATGGAGACTGCTGTAGTTATTTCAGTTGTGTTCTTTTTTTTTTTTGGTGTTTATCTTCAGGAAATTACTAAAGACATAAATCATGTTATCATAAAGATTTCATGTGGCAATAAGATTGTAACTATACAGTGCACTTACATGCATATTCATCTAAACCCATGAAAACAACATTAACATTATAGCAGTCATTGCCAGCTACTAGACCTCTCTGACGGGAATCAAGTGTCATTGAGTGACAGATGGAAAAGCATGTTGTGGGACTGCTATACAGGAGTTATTATGAATTATAGAAAGCCATGAAGGGGAAGGGCTAAGGCAGGGCAGGGGTGTCCAAACTCGGTCCTGGAGGGCCGGTGTTCTGCTGAGTTTAGCTCCAACACATCTACCAGGAAGTTTCTTGTATATGTAGTAATAGCTTGATTAGCTGGTTCAGGTGTGTTTAATTAGGGCTGGAGCTAAAGTTTCCAGGACACTGTCCTTCCAGGACCGAGTTTGGACACCCCTGGGCTAAGGGGTAGATTTTGGATTAGGCCTTTCTCCCCTGGCACCATTGAAACAGATGTTTGGCACTGGCATGGACCAACCAAAGGTGACTCATGCGAACTTTCATTGTTCCTTTTCTATACAAGGTATTATTTAGTCTTACACTCAGAAATGTTTGCCGTTTGTTTAAACTACTTATTTAAAATGAGCTGAAACAACAAAATGCTTGAGTTGTTTTAAGGGATAACTGTTTAATTTAATCCAGTTAAATTTGTAAAAACTCGATTGTGTGGAACCCAACATTTTTTTACACTACGAGTGATCCACTTTCAATCTTGCCATTACATTTTTTTTCTTGTCTGTTCATATTTTGAACATTTACTGATTCATACATGATTTTTGTATTTTCTAATACCTCCTTCCCTGACCTTTTCCCAGTTTTATTGAGACTATTTTACTGTGTGATGTCTCTCTTGCTTATTTGTCTGCTTTTGTATTCCATTCACTCCCTAGTGTGCAGATACCCAGCATTTATTCCACCTCGTGCTTATTCACTTATTCATCTTTGCCAAAATGACATGGCATATCAATTTCTGTACAGATACAAAATGTAAATGAAACCAATATATAGTGTCAGTGAAGTTTAAATTTGGGTTTTGCTCTTGACCTAAAACTGTACCCGTTTAACACTATTAGCCAACTATTATATATACTAGTTAAAAAAAAAACCTCATCACCAGTTTTCATGTTTTGATGGTTGCAAATGACCAGGTAAGAGATATCAGAGGTGGACCCCTCACCATAATTCTCTATATATTAAAACCCCCAATAGCTACATCTTAAAAGGCGTTACATATGAAATCTCATGAATATAAAGAACAATTACCTTCAACGCATTCAACCAATTCTTTGCTTTCTTGCTTGCTTTTATGCAAAATATGTAGCAAACTATAACACCATAATTGCTGTGAACGGTCATACAAGCATTGATTGTGGTTGTGATCAACTCGGAGCCATAATGTGGCCACATATGTCCAGGGGATATCCTGGGTTATTAAACGATTAGGCTGCGCAACAAATATAACTACACACACGTACGTCAGCACTTTCATTCTGTTGTTGACAGCAACACAGTAGCATTTTTGAAACAAGTTTATTTTCACATTTATTTGAAGCACTTTTAAGGACCTATGTGTGTTTTCAAGTTCTTCCTATGCCTTCCAGGAATCAATGAGTCTGAGATTCAAGTACTTTCTGTATCAGAATCCTGAGCAATACATGTTTCACATTGTCCACAGCCTAAGATTTTCTCTCCTGGCTTCACTGAAACGGACGGTTGGCATTCGCATGAGTCAACCAAAGGTTTGGCTATAGGAAACTGCCCATATATATTGACCCTGTGGAGCTCCCGCCGAACAGTTTTGGTGGAAACCGGAGATTTGAGGTGCACATTTAACTCTGCTGTGAATTGGGCAGCTGTGGTTACATGGTTTTTAGATACAATCCGGGTTAGCACGCGGACATCCCTTTCAGACAGCTTCCTCTTACTTCCACAGTTATTCCTGTTGGATGTGGTTCGTCCTTCTTGGATGTATGCTGATGTTACTCTGGATACTGTGGCTCTTGATACACCACAAAGATCTGCTGCCTTGGTCACAGATGCACCAGAGAGACGTGCACCAACAATTTGTCCTCTTGTGAACTCTGATGTGTCACCCATAATGCTGTGTGTTGGAATATTTTAAGCAAAACTGTGCTATTACTCCACTAATCAAATCTTCACACGGTGCTCTTACAAGTGGAACTGTCTTGTTCCAGGACACAAATACAGCTGGTCTTTGAGCAGCAGTCTGAGGTCCTTTGTTGTGCGATGAATCCTCCAAGCCTCAGTCTTTAGTGCATGTTGGGGAATTATTATGCTGCTGATTTATGACTCTTGAACGTATGCGTGGTTCTATAATAAACAAATGAACTTAATCAGTAAAAGAACCACATTGTTGTGCAGAATACAACAAAAAGGTACTGCTACAGTTAGGGCTGTGCGATTAATCCCATCACAATTTGAAACGTTGTGATTAGCCAAAATTGCAAGAGACTGCAATATGAAATATGTATTATTTAAACTTCCCCCGCCCAGAGCAAATGCGTGACTGCCATATGTGTGTGACAGTCTTATGCTGTGTTCACACCAGACGCGGAAGGAGCGTCAAGCGCGAGTAATTTACGTGTTAAAGGGTCACGAAACACCAAAACATTTTTTGAGCTGTTGACAGTCGTATATGTGTCCCACACTGCTAAAAACACTATTAGGACACCTATATTTCACTAAAAAGTGTAAATTGGTTGTTTTTGCGTTATTTCAAGCAAATTCGTACTTTTGGATTTTCGTACTTTTCCGGTTTGAAACAAATTTTTGAAGCTGCGTCACGGTCATGACATAATAGCGTTGTATTCCAGCGTGCAGACTGGGCGTCTGTGCCAGAGTGTGTCTTGTCTCTACAGATTTGGTAAGTGAGCGACCAGTGCTCTTTGTTTATTCAGTTTGTTCGTATTGAACTAAGTTAACTATTGCATCGAGTGTAAACATGTTAGCACCACAACCAAACTTTAACCTCGTGTAGGGTTTTCACCGCATTTTGTGACCGGAATAACACACGCGGCTTTCTGATGCTACCTGCTGTGTGCATCTAAGTTTCCAGGAAATGCTGAGGGTTTTTTTTCTCTCATTCGCTGTGCGATATCAAACACTGCATGAAAAATACACGCTTAGAGTAGTTCCTCGAATCAAATATCTCGTTTGTCGCGAGGGGCATGAACGAATTCCCTAATTGAAAGAGCCAAACTGCAGTTAAAGTCCACCATTTAATAATTTGGCAAATAATTCGACTACAGATGTCCATGTAAACACCATCACTTTCTCCCGTGTTTGTGTGTGTGTGTGTGTGTGTGTTTTTTGACTCTGAAACTCAGCGCGCCCAAATAGACAGGTTAAACACAATCTCTTTCTCCTGTGTGTATTTTGACTGAAACTCGCGCGTGCCCAAATAGACACTCCCACACCCTCCCACTTTAGTTCCTCCGACACTCCCCCCTAAACAGAGCTGGACACGCCCACTTTTCTGACTTTTTCCAAAGTAGAGGTGTGAAAACACCCTGCTGAAACAAGGGGGTTTCACGGCCCTTTAAGTCAAAGCAAACACGCGAATAGCCATCCCACGCCGTGGTACGTGCGAACGGCAGGGCGCGAATTGAGGGTTTTGCACGTTTGCTGTGCATTTCCCACGAAACGCTTGAGTTTAAAAATCTGAACTTAAGCGGACATTCACTCCGCGTCAACCAATTAGTAGATTGCGTATCACCCGTTGTTGGTGTCCCGTGGAAAATCCTCCAGCCGACACCGACAACAGTTCATCAAACTGGGCTCGGCTCAGTCAAAAGCAATGCTGAAAGCCTCCATCATCCAGGTTAGGTTTCTGAAAGAGTTTATGAGCTTACAGAGCTGGAAGCACCTCTGAAAGGATCTAGTGGACTCAGACTTGACCCTAAACTCATCGACGCTGTTTTTCATCCAATTTTAAAGCACATAAACACTATTATTTTCTTAATAAAATCCATGTTAGCCATTTAGCAATGAAGCTAGAGTCACCGGGCAGACAGAAGAGCTGCCCATCACGCAAATCCACATCTGTTCTGAAGCAAATTTGATGCGCGAATGAAGCGAGTAAACTCAAATGTTCACGCGGCTATGTACGCACTAATAGTACGATTTTATCCACGCGTTCCGCGTCTGGTGTAAACACAGCATTAAGCTGCGGTCACACTAGAGTTTGAGCTTGCGAAATTCTGTAGTACAGCGATGCTAAAAGGGACAGCATTAAATAAGATTATTAGACAAAAAAAAAAAAAGAGCGATTGCTCCATGTTTTAAATTTCTGTCCAGAGAGGTTATGCTGAGATGCTCGATTGGTCTCGCGCAGACAAGTGATGCGATTTCTTCGCAGGTCAGAGTTTACCAAGAACTTGAACTGCACCGCAGCGACCTGCGAAACCTAACGTATGACATTGCGTTTCTGGTCTGACGCATTCGCGTGGGTATGAATGAAAGTCTATGGGGAAAAAAGTCCAGTGTGACCGCAGCTTTACCTAGGGCCAGTGTCCTGGAAAAGTTAACTCCAACCCTAATCAAACACACCTGAACCAGCTAATCAAGCTCTTACTAGAAATACTAGAAACTTCCAGGCAGGTGTGTTGGAGCTAAATTCAGCAAGACACCGGCCCTCCAGGACCAAGTTAGCACATCCCTGCTATAGTTTGTCTCTTGGCCTCAATTATTTTCTCCAAACACAAAACACAGATTTTGCTACTTACTTTCTTATGGTCCAAATCGGTAATAGTAGCGTAAATATCACTCAGTAGCACTTGCTGAGAAGTTAGAGTGTCTCACCTTTCCTCACTACCTGTGAATAAATGAGGTAAGGTTGGTTTTATATTCACAACATTCAGACTTTATCCTTAATATTATATTTTCAAAAAAGCATCCGTTGCACATTCTACATAGAGAAATCATATTAGCAGCCAATGAGTATCAAAGTACAACATTGTTCACAGTTAACAGTTAGATTGTCCACAGTTAAATTGTTCAGTGACTTAAATATTGCTAATGTTGTTTTGAAGTCATACTTGCATGCTATTACTGACCGAATATTCAAAGTAGCACGATAAAAACCATAGGGGCCCTATCACTAAACAAACATGTGAATATGAAACCAACTTACCTCAATCTGTGAATGCTGGAGATTTAATGAGATCCAGAAATATGAGACTACAGTCTGTAAAGCAGAGGACTCCATATCAAAGATGGCACCACACAATCAACAGCAGCAACAAAAGGTAAATAAACAAAACAAAACAATAACTATGAATATCAAGAAAACAAAAACGATAATAGTTTCAGAACATAAAACACCACAAAGTTTACTAACTTAATAAAATAACGATATCGTTTTACAGACTAACGTTATCCTGAATTCTCAGGTTGTCTTAGCAACACGCTCACGATGCATAACAAACTCAACACGGCGTTTTTGTTTTTCACATTTTACACATATGGATGTCTCAAACAGATTAACATTACATTAACATTTTAACTCACTCAAACTATGAATTAATTATATTTTAATATGTTGTAGCTCAAAGAACTCGGTCGTCTACTCATAAACTATTAACGAGGCGTCGTAGATAGTCAACTTATCAGTTTCTTTATAATCTTATTCCTAGTCTTCATGCAGCATCTCTGTGCAAATATAACTAGATTTTTTTCAAACATCTCTACCTAATCACACGATATCAAAGTATTTAATCAGAAAGATCTGGAACACCTCTACTCACTTCTTTTCAACCAGCGTGAGAGAAAATCACATCCCCTTCTTCTTGTTATTTTAATGGCGGTCGGAATACAACAAAACAGTGCACTACCGCCACCTACTGTACTGGAGTGTGTGTTTGCGTCAAATACCTCCCATCAAATCATAGATATATACATATCTATGCCATGAAATAAGAGAGAACAAAACAAATAAACAAACATGTTGTAATCCATTTAATCAACGTGGACTAAACGTACTTGACTTTGAAATATCGAACACTAAATTTAAAATTAAGTGGATACAAAATGTATTAGTTAAAAAAACTATGGTATTACATTCGTAATGTTTTTTTTTTTAAAGTAGGTGGCATTGAATTTCTTCTTAATCGCAATGTTAATAATCGTAAGCTTCCCATAAAACTTTCTAATTTTCACAAACAGGTTTTGTTTTCATGGATGATTATATACAAGCACAATTGTTCCCCTCATAAATGTTTAATTTGGAATAATACATATATTACACACCGAAGTAATCTCTTTTTTTATTAATTGGTTTAAAAATAACATTTTGCTGGTTTCACAACTTTTAAATAGTAATGGTCATGTGCTTACCTATTTAGAGTTTCTAGAAAAAAATGTTCCCTTTATATACATGTTAAAGAGTATACGATGGTAATTAATGGCATTCCCTTAGAAATTAAAATATTATTAGAAAATATTAGAAGTATAAGTATTAGAAAATTATGTAGTTCAAAATACAAATTGAGTTTAGTCTTAAATTGGAAGGTATAAATATAAAAGAAAAAATGTGATAATAATTATCTTAGAATGATTTGCCAGATTGCTGGAACGAGACTTTTAAGATTTCCAGGCGTTTTTGTATAACAAATAAAATTAGAGAGGAATCATTTAAAATTGTTCATTCTATTTATCCTGTAAAACAGGTAATTGCAAAATTTTGTAAAGATGTTGATTTTAAAATGTGCTTTCTGTAACGATAAAGAAGAAAATATTGTTCATTTATTTTATGATTGTATTTATACACAATTAATTTGGTGTGATGTTTTCTTTTTTGGTTAAGCAGAGTGCGAATACTGCATTGGAATTCAAAGAAGTATATGTGTTTTTTTTTTTTTTTTTTTTTTAGAATGCAGTCAACTTCAAAATTTGGCATATTGTTAATTTGCTCATTATGTATGGACATTTTTTAAATTCATAAATGTAAATAGACAGTGAAAAAAGCTAATTTTACTCACTTTAAAATAGAAATCGGCCATTACCTAAACACAATAAAAGAAAAAAATGCCAAAGCAAAAAGAACTGTTAATCATTTTAAAGCTTTAAATGTAGTTTTTTGAAAAATTAAATTTGTAATAGATTTTTGTATTTTCTTCCTATATTGTATTTGTTTGGATGTCAATATAATGTTGTTATTGCCCTTGTATGTTCTAAAATTGTAATAAAACAAACAAACAAACAAACACAAAAAAAAGCTACCCTAAGAATTAAATAAACAAATTATATTCTGTTAATTAAACCAGTTTCCATCAAGTAATTAGTTACATTTATTGGGTGTATGCACAGGTAGTGTGTTTACCCTACTTATAAACATATGGGCCGGATTTTTCAAAAGTAATCTACTAGGATTTTGGATAACGGATTGGATCAAATCTTTTAAACGGGTTGTTCAAAAGAAAAAAGAAAAAAAAAACGGATTACATAATTGGAGATCACGTAATCCAATCTTGGTTTTGATCCGAATCAAACCTTGTCACCCCTCATATGCAATCCTCAAAACAGTCATAAAGCGGTGCGTGACTGTCAGCCGTGCTCCATTAGTGATAAACAGACGCTGTTTCCCAAACGGATTCTGTACACATGATTGAAGCCAAGCAAAAGTCTGGGTTTTGGATGCGTGTTTGAACAGACGTATGTATACACACATAATTAATAATAAAAATAACATCTAAAGATGATTTTGTTGGGGTTTTTTTAAACATTAATTTTGTCCTAAATGAGCATAAGGAAAGCAATCAAATGCTTTTATTATAGTGCTGGACGTGTGCACTTTTAAAGGGACACCTGTAATGTAATCAAATAAAATCTAAATGACAGATTCAATCGTTGCTCTTTAATCAAAAGGTTTAAGTTATACCTTTAAGAAAAAAATGATATTCTATTTCCTTATAATAGCTATTTATTTTAATAAACTGTTTGCTAATTTATTTGCTGCTATTCATTCATTCATTCATTTTCTTGTCAGCTTAGTCCCTTTATTTATCCGGGGTCGCCACAGCGGAATGAACTGCCAACTTATCCAGCAAATTTTTACGCAGCTGATGCCCTTCCAGCCGCAATCTCTGGGAATTATTTGCTGCTAATGTATACCATTTTTTCTTTAGTAAATAATAATAAAACATATTACTTACTGTTTAACAGTTTATTTCAGATAAAACAGCTCCAGATGAACATATTTAGTCATTCTAAAGAGGTCTTTTGGTAAGCATATCCCTTACATTCATATCCTATGTTGTATGGTCCAGTTTTGAAGAGGAAGATGCATGCAATGTGTCAGGCACTACAGCAGGGGGCAGCCGTCTCATTATGAATCATCTGCTCCAGTGATATGAACGAAGTTCTGTAAAATATCTACTGGAACACATTGATGCTTCAATCAACACAATATAATCTAATTGCACAGTACACACATTGACATTACTGAGTATTGCTCTCAGAGAACGGAAAGCGGACAAACAAGTGTTTACGCAAGCATAATTACCACAATTAAACTGACATTATATAAATATTCAGCCAATTAGAAACAACCCAAATTTTTATGTGGCACAAATAAAAGAAAGTAAAAATAAAGTCGGTGGCGCGAAGTAGGTGAAGGTTGCTGATTTGAGCCTCGGCTGGGTCAGTTGGAGTTTCTGTGTGGAGTTTGCACGTTCTTCCTGCGTTCGCGTGGGTTTCCTCCGGGTGCTCGGGTTTCCCCCGCAGTCCAAAGACATACGTTACAGGTGAATTATAGGCTAAAATTGTCTGTAGTGTATGAGTGTGAATAGATGTTTCCCAGAGATGGGTTGCAGCTGGAAGGGCATTCGCTGTGTAAAAAGTGCTGGATAAGTTGGTGGTTCATTCCACTGTGGCGATCCCGGATTAAAGGGACTAAGCTGAAAAGGAAATTAGTGTATGAATGAAAAATAAAGTCAATTTCTTCCCATCAAACACAAAAAGGATGCTCAAATCATTGTACTGAACTGTCCTTTTAAATGAGTGTAAAGTTCACACCACATCACTTGGGGTTGTTTTTCTTTCACTCCACATGGCTATGATGACGACTTAGATTTAATGAAGGATGAAGAACAAGTTTAATGAAAACAAGAAGACTTTTGTGTGTTTCTGAGGTCAGCAGAGTCTCTGCACATTCCCACCAGTGTCACACAGCTATCAGCTGATCCCAGACCTGCCTCTGTATACATGACTCTCTTGACACCTTACCATCATTCAAGGCCTACACGCTGACAAGTACAAATCAGGTATGTTCTAACTGGACACTTGATTAGGCACCTGCTCCTTAATAGGATAGTTCACCCAAAACTGAAGATTCTGTCGTCCTGTATTCAAGCTTCACTTTTCACAAAACTGTATGAGTTTCTTTCTTCTGTTGAACACAAAGAAGATGCTTTTAAAATGTTAGAAACTGACTATTTATTTCATTCAGAATCTTCTTTTATGTTCAACTGAAAAAGAAAAGTTTAGCAATCACTCAAAGGGTAAGTGAATAGTGGGTACATTTTCATTTTGAGGAACTATTCCTTGACGTTATGCTCTTGATGTGTGTTTTCTAGTATGACAAACTTTATTCCTCTTTTTTAGAATGTTGTGGACTTTCCAATGTTGCAACAGTTTATGTATAGGATCAAGGACACGGTACACAGGACACAGTATGTCTGATAGTATTTTTTGTTCTGGTAAAAGTTTTATGTTTTATTTTGGCTAGGATAAAAGCAGTTTTTAAATTTTTAAAAAACATTTATAGTCAAAATTATTAGCCCCTTTAAGCTATTTTTTTCGATAGTCTACAGAACAAACTATTGTTATACAATAACTTGCCTAAATACCCGTACCTGCCAAATTAACCTAGTTAAGCCTTTAAATGTCACTTTAAGCTGTATAGAAGTGTCTTGAAAAATATCTAGTCCCTTTAAATGTGTTGAAAAAAATCTCTCTGTTAAAGAGAAATTGGGGAAAAATAAGGGGGGGCGGGGGTGTTGGCTTATAATAAAGAGGCTAATAATTCTGACTTCTATTATATACATACAGTTGAAGTCAGAATTATTAGCCCCATCCCCTGAATTATTAGACCGCTTATTTTATTTTTTTTTTTCTCCAATTTCTGTTTAACGGAAAGAAGATTTTTTTCAACACATTTCTAAACATAATAGTTTTAATAACTCATTTCTAATAATGGGTTTATTTTATCTTTACCATGATGATAGTAAATAATTTTTGACTAGATATTTTTCTTATTTTGATCTTTAATATATTTTTTAAAGTGACATTTAAAGGCTTAACTAGGTTAATTAGGTTAACTAGGCAGGTTAGGGTATTTAGGCTTGTTATTGTATTCTGATGGTTTGTTCTGTAGACTATTGAAAAAATGTAGCTTAAAAGGGCTAATAATTTTGTCTCAAAAATTGTGTTTAAAAAGTTAAAAACTGCTTTTATTCCAGCCAAAATAAAACAAATAACACTTTCTCCAGAAGAAAAAAATATTTTCAGACATACTGTGAAAATTTCCTTGCCCTGTTAAACATTATTTGGAAAATATTTAAAAAGAAGAAAAAAATTCGAAGCGGGCTAATAATTCTGACTTCAACTGTATATATGTAATTGAAAAAATAATTGTATGATATGCATGTAATGCTGATATATTAACATACAAAAGAGGCTACAGGGGTAAACGATGCATCAGTGCTCTGGATGCAGGATTTAAAATCTGCATACAAATCAGTATGAGGTACTTGAGTTTGAAAAAAAAGTCTTTATTATCATGGCTAATGTATATTCAATTATCAAGATACAATACAAGCACAGACTATATGGCAAAACAGCTTTTTCCTACTTTCTTTGTCTGTTTTGGAAGAG